CCTGCTCTTGTTTCTTCTCCCGGCTACCCATACATAGTTTCTCATTGATAGTCTCTCTCCGTGCTCTCTGCTCACAATCTGAAGCATCAGAGGATTGCAGCACCTCCCAGAACATGTATTCCTTACTCCTGATTCATCCTCCTTATCTGGAGCCACTCAGCCAGTGTGCAGGAGGAGACAGTCAAGGGCAGAACTGCAGAAGCTAAAGAAATGACAGAGGCACTATTGTGAGTGCACTCACAACCTTGATGCAGACAAGTTAGAAACACAACTTGTTTCAGAGGGGAGTTTCAGAGGGGTATCACTATGAGCGCCTACGGCCACTATTCTGAATATTGGCACCATTTTCCACAGGTGCAGGTGATAGCAGCTGATATCTCATTCCTGCGGGTAACCAAAGATGCAAGTGTGCAGTTCCTGCTTGCATGTGGCTGCCAGTCAGGTCCATATGCTGCTCACATGTATGCTGCTTTGTTGCCTGCAGAAGTAATTGCCAATTGGTGTGGTAAAGTTTCCTACAGCAGGGGAAGAAGCAAGACAGCCTCCCAAGAAAGCTTCAGCAGAGGAGTGCAGAGTACCTTCAAGGGAGTTTCCTAGAAATCTCAATGGAGGATTCCTATGACATCCTGTGGTGCATCAACAAACTTTTCCGCAGGGCCCCTATGCCTAGCTACGTAGGGGAATGAAACCAGATACAAATGGTGCTTGTGTTGGTTATGTCAATCCCTCTTCTATCCTGATTAAAAAAAGGAGACCTCTACATCATGCCTCCCTGCAGTATCAAAGCACAATGAATACTTACCAGAGCTCCCCTCTTCTGCATCAGGCGTGCCAGAGCCAGAATGCTGGGACTGGCTAGACCCTTCCAGAGTTAAGAAGAGGTCCTGGCTCACCAGGCATTCCTGTTGCCCGTCCTCCAACTCTTTCCTCGTCTACCATGTCATCCTCAGGCTTCACTCTGCTGGCCACTGTCTCCAGCACCCCCCCCCCCCCCCGAATTATCCACAGGGCTCTTAGCAGTGGTGGTGGGGTTGCTGCAGAGGATGGTGTGCAGCTCTTTGTAGAAGTGGCATGTCTTTGATGATGCACCAGACCGACGATTGGCCTCCCTTGCCTTCTGGTATGCCTGCCTCAGCTCCTTGATCTTAGCACAGCACTGCTGCATGTCTCTATCATGCCCCTTCTCCTCCATGCCATGAGCAATCTGCCCAGAGGTATCAAAGTTCCTGCAGCTGGAGCAGAGCTGTAATTGCACAGCTTCCTCTCCCCACAGACCCAGCAGATCCAACCGCTCCAGTGTACTTCAGGCAGGAGTGAGTTTGCTGCAGGGAGCCGGCATGGTCAGCTGGGCAGATGCAATGTGAGCTCTCCAGGCTGAGCAAACAGGAAGAGGCATTTCAAAAATTCCTGGGTCTTTAAAAAGGGAGGGGCCCATGCCTGAGTACCTGGCTGCAGGGCAGCGGAGTTCAAACTGGTGACCAGAGCGGTCACAATGGGCATTGTGGGACACCTCCTGGAGGCCACTTAGGGTCACATAAGCAACTCAGTGTCTACAGTGACACTGTATTGCTCTACGTACGTCACCATAAGCGCTATGCCTCTCTTCAAGGTGGTTTTATTATGTCGACTTAGCAGGAGAGTTAAATTGGCGGGAGGAGCATTGCAGTGCGTCTACCTCCACAGTTAGGTTGACTTATGTCAACTTAACAGTGTAGTGTAGACATGGCCTTAGACTCCACACCTGCCCAAGGGAATAGCAAGGGGTAAAAAGCCCATGAAAGGGTTACAGGGGGTAACTGGCCCTTGGGCCCAGGCCTGTGGGAGTAAGCTGGGCTAGGCACCTCATTGGAGCCAGTGGGTGAAGAGTAGGCAGGGAATGCATAGCCTTAGCTCCACAAACTCACCCCACTTGCTGGCCAGAGTAGCTAAGGTTGAGGGAAGCAGTAAATTAGAAGGAAGTGGGGGAGGAACTGATACTCAGAGGGGTGTCTTTGAGCCTCCCAGGTGTTGCAGCTCTCCTTGCTCAGAGCTCATATAACGAATGAGCTGACACCATCCTAGGGTAACTCCATCCACATCACTAGAGTGAGGCCAGGGTGAACTTGGTGCACTTAGCCCCAGCAATCATTTCACAGAGGAGACTTGAGGGGGCTCACACGCTGCCCAGGTAGAGGTGGCTCTGTTCCATGTGCCAGTGGAGGCTCTGTGTTGTACCTTTCACTATGTTACATGAGTTTCCCAAGCCTCGGCAGATACAGCTCATTAACATTCTGTGACAGCCCAGAGCAGTCCAAATCCTTCTTCCATCTGTTTGTTACACTCTCTTCCCAAAATCTGGGGCAGCCATTAAGCTCTTTAGGAGGGGATTACATTACTCAAGGGTTTACACAGTTTATCCAGCCTGGTTCATATGTTAAGTACACACAAGATATAATTTTGTTACCTGGAAATAAGCAAAGAGATGAGCCCTTGGAAGGGTACCTGTTTACATTGGGTGGACGAAAACACTGTTCATCTAACCTGTGCAGAATAAAAAATTTATCCTGGACCTGGCAAGCAAAATGATCACTGTGTGAACTGGGACTGGAAGACTAGTCTCTGATTAATATATCAAGAGACGGTTGCTTGTCATTCCCAAGCATGTGTGTGTGTGTGTGTGTGTGTGTGTGTAGGGGACTGAAATTATAAGAGTGCAGAGAGATTTCTAGCATGGAATAACACAGGACTAAGGTCTCAAGAGAGTTTCTTTCAAGGCTCCTGAGGCAGGGTTGTCTACACTAGCGCTCCCACTGGTGGAACGCCCCTGTAATTGGAATGGTGGGAAAGGTTACGCAAGGCAGCCTACTGTAGTTACAGCCCCATCTGGACGATCATGCTGTGCTTATATAGCACTTTGCATCAGTAGATCTCAACTTCTTGTCTGCTGAAATTTTATATTGGCTCTTCAAGCATGTTTACCCTCTTCTGCCTCAGTTAGTTGGAAACAGAGGGACAGATGCTTGGGTGCCGTTGGGAGGCTAGTGCAATGGAACCTGTTGCAGATCACCCGTGCTGGGGATGGATCTGTGCCAGCCCAGATTCCAGTATAGTTTGGAGCAGCCACTGCAGTGGTGTAACCAACAGCTGGGGCCATTTTGGCAGCTGGTGATTGCCAGAGGACAGGAGTGTTCCAACCATGCCTCTTACCACTGGCCTCACCTGCCCCACCAGAAGCAGGATAGCCTAGGGATTGTGCCTCTGCTGGCTGGACGTACCAGCTTCAGTGATCCTTTGTGCTGATGAGACCTGTACAAAGGGGCTGTAGTACATCGGGGATCTGGCCCAGCATGTAAATCCAGTCTTTAAGAAAAAGCCTTAAGGCCTGATTTCGATCTCACACTGTGTTAAACCAGGGGTAAAACAATGCATTTAGTGCAGTCAATGGCGCTATGCTGATTTACCCCTTCTGAGGATCTGGCCCTGAATTTTTACATAGCCCTTACAGGTGCAGAACTCCTGATGACATCACAAGTGGCTGGGGAAAGGATGAGCAAAAAAGGGAATAAGGTCTTCAAGCTCTTGTGCCAAGTGAGACATTTAATTTAAAGTGCGTCATCAACCCCACATGGCATAAACAAGCTCTTTTCTTTCCTGTACGGAAAGTAAAATTAATAGAAACGGGCACAAGCTGTAAAATATGGATGTTGGCTGGATTTTAAAGTTCAGGTCTTTGCAACTGACCCTTGAAAGAGTGATTTTTGTTTGCAAAAGTTGGATCTGGGTTTGGATTTTCAGACAGCCCCAAAGCATGGATGTGTTTGGAGCCAGAGATTATATTTGGGCCCTCTTAATAATAATAAGTAATAATGTTTAGCCTTTATATTGCATTTCCATCTCAAAGGCACGATAATCTTTATTAGTCTTCCAACTGAACACTGCAGTTCAGCTGATGGCTGCTCAAGCCTGAGGCGATGGCTGTTTGGATGGGAGTGCAAACTGCCTTGAGTTCTGAATGGCTGGCATTTCTGAAATTCACCAGAGGCAGGTTTTTCTGCTCTCCTATTCTCACAGATCTCCAAGGGGATAACGTGCATCATGGGACTCCGGGTTTTACTGTGCTATTAAGTTATTGTGCCACCCCTTGGGACAGTCCTGCAAGGAGGAGGAGGACTCGCATAACTCTGGATCAGTAAAGGAAGCAGCTCAATTAGCATTTCACACGCTTTTCTTCGCTCTCTTCTTCCCTTCCCTGCAGTGGGCATGCTTTCCCCTTAAAGGATTGTCCTGTTTCTGCTCCTTGCCAGCGTTGGCAGGGTGACAGTAGTCGAGTGTGCAAACTTGTGCTATTGTCCCCAGGCCAGGGGGAGTCATGGAGACCCATTAATATGACACAGGAAAATGTTTGCTGATGGCAATTCTATGGGCTTTGTCTAACTCTTTCTCCATCATGACGACTCGATTTAAGTCTCTAACTGTTTGACTACAGATGCAAGAGTACTATCCAACTCCATCCTTTTGTCCGGGCAGTTTGAATGGGTAATTCAGCTTTTGTGTGGCTCAATTGAGGGGGCAAACATAAAGACAAGATTCTTGAGCGCTCAAGCTCCCTTTCCATGGATATCTGCACATCTCTTTAGAGATTTGTTCCTTTCCTACCTTTTTTCCTGACATCATCCTCCCTTAAAAAAAAAAAAAAAAAAAAAAGCCCTGATCAAGAACAGTTAAAAGCAGGCTAGCCTGGTCTCCCAAACTAGCATTGTCCTGTGTCATTGAAGCATGGTTACTGCCAGCCTCCAGACAGCTTTGGGGTAGTTTAGAGAAAAGGGTGTCTAAACTTTCTTTACTCATCAGCAGCATATCATGTTGGATTGTGTTGTTGTTGGGTGGGGGGAAGCAAAGGGAAGGCCCTCACAGGGGTGGAGGAGGAAAAAAGGGGTGGAGGAAAGAGTGGAGAATGGTAGAAATCACAGGGAAATGGTCGTATTTATTAGCTGTCTTTCTGTGGCTGTCCCCATGGTGACAATTTGTGATGACAAAGAATGTGAGAACGGGGGAGCCTAATGCCTGATTGGGATGCTTTGTATTTGGCAAAGTGGCTTCTGATTGGTCTGAGAAAGCCCCCTAACTAGAAGGAGTTGATATTCATTCAGCTTACTCAAGTGCTGCTAAACTGCTTCTAAACACTCAGAGGCTCCGGTTGCTTCTTTAAAGGTTGGTAGTGTATAACCTGTATAACAAGATTAGCCGGGGAACTGGGTTCTTCTCAGCAGTGATACAGTAACAATCAATATTAGAGAGACAATCTACTCAGTGTGTGTGTTTTGGTTACAGAGACATGGAAGTGCTGCTGAGCTTTCTGCTTACGCTTTAAACGTTACCTGTCTAACAAGATTAACCATTTGGTTCTCAGCAGTAACAAGCTGTCCTGGGTGCGTGTGTGTGTGCATGCAGAGGTTTTGTGATTGCAAGGATGTGGATGTGCTGCAGATGTTTCAAACTTGGCTAGCATGACAAGCTGACACCTTGCTTGTTCAGCTGAGAAGTTTGATTTGTTCTTGTTTTTCTCATCTACTTGATGCTTTCAATTTTTGTCCTGCTGCAGGGGAGCATTTGGGTTTGAAGTCATGAATATGTCCCTCCTGCTTTCACAGGTTTGCCCAGGTGTGTGGAGTGGGTTTATAAACTTTTGATGGAAATCTCCAGGAAGGTCCCTCTTTGAAATGGCATCAGACAGTGAGGTGAAAACGTTACTGAATTTTGTGAACCTGGCCTCTAGTGACATCAAAGCCGCTCTGGACAAGTCTGCTCCCTGCCGCCGCTCAGTTGACCACAGAAAATACTTGCAGAAGCAGCTCAAACGTTTTTCTCAAAAATATTCCAGGATCCCAAGATGCCACCCCAGCAAATCCATGGAATCCAGCTCCAAAAAGGGGGCAGAGGATAGAAATCGCAGTTCAGACCCAGATGGCACGGATCCAAATCACTGCACAGTTTCCAGTGAAAAGGCCCTGAGGCTATCAGAGGTGGAGGAGAACTTCAGTGGGGAACAGGTTTTGCAGGAGCAAAGCCCAGAGTCTGTAAGGCCAGATCAGGTGCCCATGAGGAAAAGACAGCTGCCTGCTTCCTTCTGGGAAGAGCCCAGACCAACTCAGAGTCTGCTGGTCGGGAGCTTTCCTGCCGGATTGGATGGGCTCCCAAACTCCAGGGACCTTCCTCCTTACGAGGGCAAGAAAAGCAAAAAGGGTCCCGATACCACAGAGCCAGGCAGCCCCCCTCTGCCTGCCCAACCCAGTGGGGAGAAGGAGCCTATCAAAGTGCCCGGGACATCCTTATCTGGCCGGATGAATGCCTGGAGCTGCTGTCCATTTCAGTACCATGGACAACCTGTTTACCAAACCCATGGAGCCCTACCTCAGTCACCGTTTCCAGGCCTCGGGCTATGGAGAAAAAGCACAGCACCCACAGGGGAGATCCAACACTTCTGCAAGGAGGTGGGCAGTATGGGGCAGAAACTATACAGACCAGTGGTTTTGAAACCCATCCCTACCAAGCCGGCTGGGCCACCTCCTATTTTCAATGTGTTTGGATACATTTAGCCTGAGGGAGGGGAGGGGATTTTGTGCTGTGTACGGTAGCTCTTTCAAATGAAATTCAAATGTAATTTCAGACATTGGCCCATCAGCTAGTCACACTGTGGAGCAATTCTTCGGGGAAGAATATGCTGTCGTTTCCATCTGTCTATAGATGGGCAGCCATTACCGGCTGCTCCTTTAATCGGAAAGGCACAAGCTGGCTGACTTAAATAGTGGTTGTGAATACATTTGGGTGTCAGTCTCCCCTCACTGCACTGGTATAATTCAGGAATAACTCTTATGGAAGCCAGTGCAGTTAAATGACAGGCGAACTGGGCCTCTTGTATTTAAGATAATTGTTTGACCCAGGGTGTGTCAGGCTAAGAACCATTTGGAATCTGCACTTGTAACACCTACGAGACCTTTTCCATATGGGACTGTCTTTAGGGGGACACTTTGTACCACCAGCACCAATGACGTGATTAAACTGATAACGTCTCTTGTACTTTAAAGTCATTCTAAAGAAATCAGTTAAGGTTTTCAGGTCACTTTCTTTTACCAATAGGGCAGTATTTCATGCAGAAGATAAGTTTGTAAATCGATTTCAGCTCTTCTCTTGTGTAAATATCAAGAGAGTTTTTAAAAAAATAAAGCAGGTAATTTTATTTGTCTCCACATCTCAAGTATGTTCAGACTGCATGTTTATTTTCCTCCCAAGGAGTAGGTTCAGGTTCAGTTTGTAAAGGCGTTGTCATTCAGAAACGGGGGCCTGATTCTCCCATCATTCACAGTGGTGTAAGTCAGGAGTAGCTCCACGGGAGGCTATGAAATTAGCCAGTTTAAAACTGGTGTGAATGAGAGCAGACCTCCCCTGTGACAACTAGGCGAATAGACTGGAAATGGTTTAGCATTTGAACACGTAAGTGCAAAACTAGTGAGATAAGAGAGAAGATCGGCGCGTGAACACATTGGCACTAAAGCCTCCGGGTCTGTCTGCTACAGTGACACAGCTGCTCTGCTGCAGCACTGTAGGGCAGACACTTTACTACAGGCTCTGAAGGGCTTCTCCCAGGGCTGTCATAAATCCCCCTCCCCAAGAAGCAGCAGCCAGGTTGACAGAAGAATTCTTCCGTTGACCTAAAGGTGTCTACAAAGGGGGCTTAGTTTGGCTTAACTATGTATCTCGGGGGGAGGGTTAATTTTTCACACTCCTTAGCGACATAACTAGGTCAACCTATGTTTTAGGTGTAGACCAAGCCTCAGTTGATCAGGGCAATGAGCTTCCCAGGGACAATTCTCTACTCTGCCTGAGGACTGGTCTACACTAGGAGCTTACATTGGCATGACTACACTGCTCGGGGGTGATCCACAGTCCCGAGCGATGTAGCCATGCTGACCTAACCCCCGGTGTAACCATCACAAGGTGGACAGAAGAATTCCACTGCAGCTGTCCCTTTGTAGCGGTTTAAGTGTAGCCATGCCCTGACTCTAAGATGGAAAGCTGCAGATAAATAAGTACTCTAGTAGTTTGCAAGTTATTCACTTGCAAAGCTGGTCATGTGTGATGAAATCACTTCTGAAAGGTTAAAAGGAGTGTTTTGTTAAACTTCTCTAAAGCCTACAAAGAAGTGATGTTAAATAGGACAGGAGACCTACGATTAAATATTATGGACCTGATTCTCCAGTCACTTAGTGGTGTAAATCACTGAGGTCAATAGAGATACACTAGTATAAAAGGGACAGGAGAATCAGGCCATGTGCATCCGGGGCCTAATCCAGCTCCCACTGGAGACAATGGGAACCTTTCCATAATTTTAGTGGTAGATGGGCCAGGTCCCTTTACTGTTACTGTGGTGCTTTACACTGGTGTAGTGCCATTGACTTTAGTGGAGTTACTCCTGATTCTCACCTGTGTGAGAGGAGAATCAGGTTCAACACCTTTTGAGGGCCTAACGTAAAGAAAACGATCAGCTAAACAAACACTGAGGAATGGATCCTCAGCTCTTCAGCTGGTATAAACGGGCATGGCACTTCATGCATTCACACCAGCTGAGGATCTGGTCTTGTATACTGCCTGAAACTTTTATTAAGGGCATGCAGATAATTCTCTGGCCTGTGGGCCCATTTTTTCGCAGCCATCCCAATGATAACCCTGAGAGTAGCTTATGCAGAAGTGAAGCCAGAGTGGATTAGTCCTGCAGTCTAAAAGTAACAGCATGAAAGATGAACCAGGCTTGAGTCCTAACTTCCTTCTCCTTGTAAGTCATTTACACCTGTGCAAAGAAGGCATTATACAACACAATTCTCTGATTTGGTAGCATTTTACCAGCTTTGCATGGTTGTAAATAATAGCATAAGGTCCAGAAGAATCAGGTTCATAAAGTCTTGGGGGCCAGCATGGAAGTGTGGGTCTGGTTCCTCTCTCACACTTCAATACCTCCTCCTTGCTTCAGAAAAGACTCCATGAAGAGGCAGTGTCCTTGATCCTGCATCCATTGAAGTGAAATTCAAAATTCCCTCTTAGAAGGAGAAATGGGCCCAAGAGAGGCAAGCTGCAGAGCTACAGACAAGGGGTTCCTGTAGCTCTTTCTCACATCAGTGACCCTTACTCACACTTGTAGTCAGACTGAAACCAATGGGCCAGATGCTGAACAGTCACAACTGTGTGAACCCAGCGTAGCTTCACTGGTGTTATGCCAGGCTGCCAGCAGGCAGGATGACTGGGATCAGCACCTGGCTCTCTGGAACCACTTCAGAAGGTATGGTTCCATCAAAATGGAAACACTTCATGAAACTGGGTCAATGTCATTTCAGAGGAAGGTGGGGAGGGGAAGGGAGAGTTCTGACGTCAAACCACTTCTGTTTTTTTTTTTATTTTAAGTGACTTTCCATTTAGAACTTTTTATTTTGTAGGATCATGGCTAACACTATAATACGATAACTCTGGAACATCAGAATTGGAACAAAATGTCAAAATGAAACTTATCACCCTAAAACTATTTTTTTTAAATTTTCCTTTGCAAGTTTGAACAACGCCAAATTTCAAAATCCTTCACGAAACGGAAAGCCCAACCTCTGGATGGTTCTAGTTCCAGGGCTGGGACCTTTCATGGAGTTCTGGTGTATCCTAAGAAGTGAAGCAGCAGTGCTCCAGAACGCGAATGACATCATTATATGTAGCTGAAGTAACTGACGAGGTTTCATAGAATCATAGAATATCAGGGTTGGAAGGGACCTCAGGAGGTCATCAAAGCAGGACGAATCCCCAGCGAAATCAAATGTTTGTGTGAGACATTCTTCTTAAGCCTTCTGGGAAGCTACAATCTCTCCTCCAGCAATACAAGTCTCCTCTTCCTGTGATTACTGTTTATAGATTATAACTTATTACTGCTTTGATTAGTTCAAACTTTCCCCAGATACCTCTTTGTCTAGGTCCTCAGAGCAGCAGGTAACATTTTAGAATGTTAGTTTATTTGCCTTTTGTTTAGAAGCTGAAAAACATAACATTGGAAAGCCACCATTTGCTCAAATGTAATGCAAATGTAAAATATTAAACCCACACTATATTTTATAAATAATGGCAAAAAATAATAAAACAATTGAAAAAGCTTTTATACAAAAAAGTGCACAAGAACATAAAGTGAATTGCACATGTTGCAATAAAAAAGTACAGTAATCTGGCCATTTAATATTCCTGGAACAGCTGAAACAATTCTCATCACTGAAGATGTCTGTCCTGATGTATAAAAATATACCATTTTATTGCATATTGGAACTACTGAACTGGTTCCACAGCCTTGGCTCCAAAGTATTTTTTCCGTTTCACAGCTGTATTCATTTTTATAAATGAAAGGAGAATTTGTACAGATTCAGGACATCGGGTATGAGAGAGGTAGCCTACCCTGTTTTAGTGCAAATAAATGTAAACCAACTGTGGAAAGACTGGCAGTGAGGGTCAAGCAGAAAGGATAAAGTAATATTGTGATTGCCAGGTCAAATCTTCAATGGAGTGATCTCTCCTCAGTTTATGTGCACAGTACGGGCCTGATTCTGCTCTCGCTTGCACTAATTTTACACCAGGGTAGCTCTATTGATTTCAGTGGCGGTATTATCCTGACCGATACAAATATGATAGAGGAATCAGGCCTGTAGGTATCCAGTTAAGGAGTAATACGTCTTTTGCTCAACCCATACCCAGTTTCAGTTTTTCCAGGTTCAACAAAACAGAACAATCCTGCATCCCATGATCATTTTGCATATGTAAAGGTTTCCTCTCCATAGTATTCCACAGCTTTGGATTGCTTATGAAATACCAGCACTACTGCATGTACACGGTTTGTGATTGCAGATCATTCTACCAAAAAGGTGGCCTCGGATAATCTGATTATACAACAAATAGGTATTTAGGTAAACCATCTCCACCATGCCAGGTTTCAGTATCAATATCTGTTTGCAACTCAGTCTGATTCTAGCCTGTGACACTGGTTTAATTTCAGGGGAGTTGCTCCTGATTTATAGTAGTGGAAGTAAGCAAGAACCAGGCCCTCCAGGCTCAACCCACACAGATGTGAGCTATGCCAGCTAAACAGGTGATTTTTTATATATCAAAAGCTACTTAGTTCACACAGTACTGTTAGGACTACTGGCCTGTGGAATCCTTTCACATGTGGGTGTAAAAAGAAAAGGAGTACTTGTGGCACCTTAGAGACTAACCAATTTATTTGAGCATGAGCTTTCGTGAGCTACAGCTCACTTCATCGGATGATGAAAGCTCACGAAAGCTCATGCTCAAATAAATTGGTTAGTCTCTAAGGTGCCACAAGTACTCCTTTTCTTTTTGCGAATACAGACTAACACGGCTGTTACTCTGAAACATGTGGGTGTGCACTTTACTCGCAGGCATAAGTCTCTTCAATGAAGTAAGTGTTCACCAGCATAAGTAAGGGCTGTATGGCCAGGCCATGCATCTGTTCACCTAGGATGTTCATGCTAAATATTCAAAAGCAAGGTTGTGTCTGAGCTTCCTTTCAGGAAGGCGGTAATGTGCCTGGCCTCACAAGTAGGGCTCCCAGGGTGAGTCTTTTTCTGATTCTTTATTGTATGTTTCTTGGCAAATTATGGTTCATTATTGACAGGGGGAAATGTGGTGAGTTTTAAGTGGTGTCAAAAATTGTTTTCTTAGAATTATGTAAAAATTCTCTGAAGCGCCATGCTGCTGGGATGTGTTACCAGGCAGCAGGGGTGATTTTCAGAGCTCCCTGCAGCAGACTGTTTGCAAACACCAAAGGCTGGATCCTTGCTGGTATAAATGGGTGTTATGCCACTGGAGTAACGGGTGCTGTGCCCATTTACACTAACTGCGGAGCGGGCGCCTATTCTGAATTATTTTCTCTCTGAGGTTTCTATATCGAGCTGCTCAGCATCTTGCAGGATCTGGCCCGTCATTGTTTTTGGAGTGGAAAATAGCCTGGTGTTTGGCATCTCTTCTGTCCTTCATCTCCCTTTCTACCCTGACAGTGTGTCTGGAGTGCAGGAGATACCCACCGGAGGAGGGAAAATGGTCAGCATCATTGTTAGACCTGAGAATGAGGGGCCAGCACATCAGCGGGAGTAAAGGAAGACAACGGGTGGAGCTGTCTCCATTTTCACTAGCTGCGGAGCTGGCCAGGCACTAATCATTTTCTTCAAAGCTCTGCAAGAGGAGCACAGCTCCATCTGAATGGAAAGGGCATTGGGTTCTCAACTGCCACTGCGTTTTGGAAGGGGACAGTCAACACACCCAGGTGCAATTAGCTGCAGTTGTTGCTACTTTGCGTACATTCCCTTCCGCAAGCGCTGGAAGGTATTTCACCCCAAACGTTGGGCAAAAACAGACATGCATGTGTGCAATACACTTAATAGTTTTGTGTTAAGGTGTACAAGTCTACAAAAAGAAACCTTTGTGCAATGCAGCCCTGTTTGTCAGGAATAACTGTAATTCCCCCGCTTTGCTTAGATTTCTATCTGAATCAGTATCTGGTGGGCAAGTCAACACACAAAATCATACCTAATGTATGTATGGTTGGACGTGCAGATAATCTCTGGTATGAATCCAAATCAGATTGGAGCCCAAAACTCCTTTTGTGTTTACAATAAGAGGATGAAGAGCCTATGTATTTCTAGGCCAAGTTTTGCAAAGGTAGGGGTCTAATGTAAATCCTTATATAGGTGCCAAATAAGTGATCTGATTTTCAAAGGGGCTGAAATCTAGCAGCTTCCATTGATGTCAGTGGGAGCTTCTGGGTACTCAGCACTTTGAAATTCAGGCCATTTAGGGCCAATTTATGATAATGTAATGTTCCTTGAGTAGCACCTTACTGCACAAGTCCCCCACTGACTTCAGTGGAATTACTTGTGGCATAAGTAAATGTTTAATGTAAGTGTATCATAATCTGGCACTATTTTAAATGCATAAATAAGGACATAGGAGCCTAATTTTGAGCACCCATTTTTGAAAATCTTAGTGCCAGTGTTTATAATTTTGAAATAATCTCACTCTTCTACAAGTAACAGTAGCTCAGTGTCTTGGCTTCACTTAAATCTGTCACCTGAACTTCAGGGCCTGATTCTGCTCTCACAGCAATTTTATGGTGGAGAAAATCCATTGATTTCTGTGGTGCTATTTCGGATTTATACCAGTTAAAAGGAGTTCAGAATTGCTTTTGGATCTTCACTGTAGAAATTCACTTACACCAGAACCCTGTCTACTTCTTATACACTTTTAATATACCACAAGCAGTATTTACTGTGAGCTAAATCCTTCAGTCCTTAGATTTTTACTCAAATAAAATGTCCACTGACTTAAACAGGAGTTTAGGATGAGTCAAGTCTTCTTGGTTTGCACCAATATTTACAAAATGTCTTTGCTGGGGGGGGGGGGGGGGGGGAATCTCAAAAGTTCTGAGTTTTTAACGCTTGGAAATCAAGTGAACTGTTCATAAAGAAAGGCCAAAAGAAACAAAAAATAAATAGGTGAGAGAGACAATGTCAAGGTACCAGAGAATTAGCAACCAGCAAACAGCTCAGTCTAACATGACAGAAAACAAAATAACACGCAGGGAAATGTGATTGTTTCCCCACATATGCAGATTCTTGACAATTACTGACTCCTGAGCATTGAAGAACTCTAACCTCGGAAAGACCCTCAGGTCTTTTTTGAATCCCACAATGTCACTTGGCTTTGGCTCTGCTAGTTTTTCAGTGCCGGTTTTCCTGTCCCCTTCCCTACAGAGCTTTCAGGTGTGTAACATTGCAAAGCACTTGTTTTCTTTTGGGAAAAAAAAATCAAAGGGTAGTCTGTCCTGTTTGTGTCACCCTGTGTCTTTCACCCTCCCTTTCTTCTCTCTCCCTTTCCAGCATTGTAATGCACATAGATTAGCTATGGGGTGATCCTTCCCATCATGCAGTCCGTTCAACATGATCATGTGAATACTCTCCTCTCTAATGAATTGGGTTGTTGCACCAGGAAGCTGCTGATCACCAGGTTTGCACGAGGTCACTGTGAATAATCATACTGTAGGTATCGAATCAGTCTGCCCGGCAGAGGCAAAGTGTCAATCAGTTTAATGCGGTTTCTCCCAATCACGTTTCGAACCTTGATCCGGCAAAGGTGAGCGAGAGGCCTGGGGGGCTCTGGAAAAGAGACAGGACCTAAATGTTAGTCGGGCATTTTCAGATCAGTTGAGTTATTAAGCTAGGTCTGTGCCTCACATGCTGAGCCATGACATTTATTAGGGGCTGTGGAGGAAGGACCCCCAGCAGTGGAGTCAGTGCAGTCAAAGGGGATGAACTGTGAGGTGAGCCACTTATGGTGTGTACATCCTCTGCACAGCACTCAGCTCAGCTCCCTGACAGGTCCAGGTGTGCTGCAAGTGGGGGTGGGGCAGATCAGATAGCGGGGGCATGGGGGAGCAGCTGTGGCTGTGGAGTGTCTCTGCTGTCTGGGATGGGGGGTGAGATTCCTTCCCTCTTCTCCCTCATCCCAGCTCATCTTCTCAGTGCCTGACACACCTGCTTAAGTATGCTACTGGTGGATGAGCATTTGCACCTTAATACATGCCCCGCACTAACTACAGCCTGCTCCCAGTCTGTCCGACATTGCAGCCCGGCCAAGTTCTAGATTCAGACCTGCCGGGGGAGGACAGCTGGCTCCATGTGCTAACACATCACACTGCCACATGGGGCTGGGAGCTATGCCCCTTGTTCGCAGGCTGGCGGGAACTGAGACACAATGTGAGGAAGAAGAGAGGAAATACTTCAGATAGCTCTGTGGCAACCCCTCTGGCTCAACCAGGAACCATGCTCAGCCCTCCTTGGCCAGAACAATGGTAGGCACAATATGAGGCCTTGAAAGTAGCTGGGGAAATGGTTTAGGTATCCCCAGGATTCTGAAGAGGGCTGAAAGAATCCCCTGGAAAAAAGGAGATTTGTAAGTGTGGAGGGGGAATAGGGTGAACCCTTGTGCCAATGAGCCAGGTCACCAAGTAATCCCCTGCATTACAAAATGCGAGCCATGAGGATCTGCCAGCTCAGCTGTCATTAGAATCATAGAATATCAGGGTTGGAAGGGACCTCAGGAGGTCATCTAGCCCAACCCCCTGTTCAAAGCAGGATCAGTCCCCAACTGAGCTGAACCCTAATGCAAACACTGTTTAGCAAAAAGGTGGAGATGCAAATATAAACCAGATAAAAGCTAGAGGGATTAACACAAAAGAGTCTCTAGAACAGCGAAGTCTCACTGAGATCAGTGGCTGCCCAGGCACTTAGGTGTAGTGCTGAAAGAGGGGACTAGAGTTTAGGACTCCTGAAGTCCATCTCAGAGTCTGCTACTGTCTTGCTGAGCGGCTTTTGGCAAGTTACTTAACTATACTCAGTCTCCCACTATTAAACCCTCCCACTAATAACCTGACAGAATTTAATAAGGATGACACCAAATACAGTTCAGTAGAAATTGCACTAAAGAGCTACCCTACCTTTCCACAAGGGATCCAATGATAGAGCATCCTACCTGTGAAGGAAGGTGGTTTCTGACTGCTGAAGCTTTTTATGACCATCAGGCTGTCCCCCCACAATGTGACTTCCCTGGTACCGATTCTGGCCTGTGTAGTGTAATTCAGCCCAGTGTCATACCTGCTTTCTCTTTAACGACTGCCCAGTCCTCGTAGCTGTCTATGTGCTCCTTTAGCCGGGCACAGAGCTGCACATTGCCCACATAATCCAGGAGAACATCGATAATAGGCCCAGCCCAGCGATTCATCTCCGGAGCAGACACCATATCACAAAACTGAAACAAAAACCATAGCTACTGCAGTAAGTGTGAGATTGATAAGTTCCTCAGGGGGAGACACTGTCAGGACATCATGTTGGTTATGCCTTCATACCATGGATAAAGACAGTTCTTAATTTTCCCTCTGAAAACTTCTACGAAAAACCCCTTATTGCTGCTGAGGGCAAAATCATCCCCTCTCCCACTGTGCGTGAAAGAAACAAAATCCCAGTGGATTCCTGGCTCTGGAGCATGGAAGAGGTATCAACCACCTATAGGGCACAGTATCCTCTGTCACCCAAAAAGGCGTCCTCAGGGTAGTCAAGGATCCATGAGTGGCTGGGTGCTTGGATGAGAGCCCACAGCTTTCCCTGGATACCAGCAGAGCATCTGCTTTAAAGTCAGAACAACCTTAGGCTCTATCACCCTTAGCATGTTCCCTTTCTTTTCTTTGGGATCCTAGTCTGGGGAAAGTCTGAGGTAGCAGTTGGCAGGGTAGGCAGTGCAGGGGCACAGTACTTCAACGAGGAAGGATGACGCCTCCAGTAGATTCCCTGACATCTTCAGGTTTGTGGGGCAGCTGAACTCCTGGCTAAGGAACAGTCTGGTGGAGATGCTACAAGATAAACCACATGGAGCTTTTGCTTCACTATGTAGGTTATTCTGTGTCAAAAAACAAACTGGGCCTAATATGGGGCCTAAAGCCTGCCGTCCCCCTTACTTTCTCCTGAAGCAGGAAAAACTCGTTGTCAATGGAAGCTGGTGGGCGCTCAGCACCTTTGAATATCAGGCCACTCATTTAGGTGTCTAAATACAATCTTAGAAGCCTGACTTTCAGCACCCATTTAAAAAATATGGCCTATCTTTCTACATAAATCCAACCCCATCCTTCTGTTTCTTTTAGGGGGCCATGTCATGATCATCACCAAAGTATCTGACTGTTTTCCAAGTGTCATAAATATAAAGGGAAGGGTAAACCCCTTTTAAAATCCCTTCTGGCCAGAGGAAAAATCCTCTCACCTGTAAAGGGTTAAGAAGCTAAAGGTAACCTCGCTGGCACCTGACCAAAATGACCAACGAGGAGACAAGATACTTTCAAAAGCTGGGAGGAGGGAGAGAAACAAAGGGTCTGGGTCTGTCTGTATGCTGCTTTTGCCAGGGACAGAACAGGAATGGAGTCTTAGAACTTTTAGTAAGTAATCTAGCTAGGTATGTGTTAGATTATGATTTCTTTAAATGGCCGAGAAAAGAACTGTGCTGAATAGAATGACTATCCCTGTCTGTGTGTCTTTTTTGTAACTTAAGGTTTTGCCTAGAGGGATTCTCTATGTTTTGAATCTAATTACCCTGTAAGGTATCTACCATCCTGATTTTACAGAGGTGATTCCTTTACTTCTATTAAAAGTTTTCTTGTAAGAAAACTGAATGCTTTTTCATTGCCCTAAGATCCAAGGGTTTGGGTCTGTGGTCACCTGTGCAAATTGGTGAGGATTTTTACCAAACCTTCCCCAGGAAGTGGGGTGCAAGGGTTGGGAGGATTTTGGGGGGAAAGACGTGTCCAAACTACATTTCCCAGTAAACCCAGTTAAAGTTTGGTGGTGGCAGTGGAAATTCCAAGGGCAAAGGGTAAAATTAATTTGTACGTTGGGGAAGTTTTAACCTAAGCTGGTAAAAGTAAGCTTAGGAGGTTTTAATGCAGGTCCCCACATCTGTACCCTAGAGTTCAGAGTGGGGAAGGAACCTTGACAAGTAAATTAGATCTGTGTTGCAAGGTCCACAGTAGACTTCAGTGGGTCTCCTGCTCTTCCGGTTATAAGAAGTTCTGTTTGGGCTATATGGGCCTGATTTTCCTACTCCTTACCCGTGGTATTGGCATTCACACCTGCCTAAAGGGAGCACAAAGTGAGTGTAAAGTGCTACCACATCCAAATGGCAGCACTTTATACCCACTTTGTCCAGGTTTAAATGATGACACACAGTGCAAGACAATGCAGAAGCAGATCCTGTGTCTAATGGTATTCTTCTTCTTTTCTCTGGCAGCCATCCTCTCCGCATATACACAGACTACATTCAAACACTCATCAAATAAACTAACAGAAAATGTTCGGGGGGGGGAACCACAGAGTGCAACCCTAGGAAATGTGAGTGTTACAGAAACAAAATTACACTGGGGCTGGTATAGCTCTGGACTTTTCCACTCCAGTCTTGTCACTCAGGTTCCTTAATTTGGCAGAGAGCAAAGCTACACTGAGTTGATTAAACTCAAACCTAATTTGATGGTGTCCAGTTTGCAAATTAATCCTAGTTCTGCAGTTTCTTGTTGGAGTCTGTTTTTGAAGGTTTTTTGTTCAAGAATTACCACTTTTAAATCTGTTATTGAGTGTCCAGAGAGACTGAAGTGTTCACCTACTGGTTTTTGAATGTTACAATTCTTGATGTCTGATTTGTGTCCATGTACATTGGTCAAACCGGACAGTCTCTATGCAAAAGAATAAATGAATAATTTGCAAACTGGACACCATCGAAATAGGCCTGAATAAAGACTGGGGGTGGATGGGTCACTACAAAAAGTAATTTTCCCTCCGTTGATACTTACACCTTCTTGTCAACTGTTGGAAATGGGCGACGTCCACCACGATTGCATTGGCCTCGTTAGCACTTCAAAAGTAATTTTCCCTCCCTTGGTATTCACCCCTTCTCATCAACTGTTGAGAATAGGCCACTTCCATCTTAATTAAATTGGCTCGTTAGTTGACCCCCCCACTTGGTAAGGCAACTCCCATCTTTTCATGTGCTATAATATATATTCTGCTTACTGTTTTTTTCACTCCATGCATCTGATGAAGTGGGTTGTAGCCCACGAAAGCTTATGCCCAAATAAATTTGTTAGTCTCTAAGGTGCCACAAGGACTCCTCGTTGTTTCTCCCTAATCCAGTCTCCCAAGAGATGAGGCCTTGCCATGTCCAATTATGCATGTCAAGCCAGGCCTACAAAAGGTCCTCTTGTGGCATTACAATAAATTACTTTTCATCTTCATATTTCCAACATTCTAATTCTCAATACGTGAATTGAGAAGAAACCAATTGTTTCCTTTTTACATAGGTAAATGGAAGATTTTATGGAATCATGAACTAATATATTTGTAGACTGATCTCCCTATCCTAATGTTCATAGAAGTCTTAAGTACTGTAGACTGGAACAATAAACTTTAGCAACAATAGTAATAGTATGAAGTGATAAGAAAAGGAGTTCTTGTGGCACCTTAGAGACTAACCAATTTATTTGAGCATGAGCTTTCGTGAGCTACAGCTCACTTCAAGTGATATACTTTTCAGTTCATCTTCCGATATCTAGTTATCTTTTCTGGCTAAAGATTAATAATTCAGATCTATTATCAGCTGTTGGTCTGTAAACAGTTATTGGTGAAAAGTCTGGGATGTCTGTAATTTCAGGTAATCTCATATGATTGAAATAATGAGTCCATGTATTTTATGAGGAGAAGTTTAATGGTGAAGGTCCCAAATGATCTCCTGGACTTTATTTCAAATTATAAAGGTATTCAAAAATATTAACAAGCTAAACCATATATACCCATCTTCTATTAAGCAATCCCCTAGTGCCAAGAAGCAAATTTTATAACAAAAAGAGGAAAATGCCTCCTATGCTCAGTTAGAATTAGTTCGACAATGATTTCTCTTTTACTTTAGGCACAGATAGGATTTTACATGACTTTAACTAGCTTTGTCATGTCAAGTTTAAACTGAACAATCTTCAGGGCAGAGGCTTAGTTTTGTGGGACACTATGCACAATTTTAGGCACTATAATAATTATAATATTAGTTGAGACCCAGAATGGGAAATGAGCTATTTACATGGGAACAGTGTCAGCTGGTTCTGAGTGGCTTGGAAATCATAGATGGGTATAAACGAAAACCTTCTTCTGTCCTTAGAATTCTAACCACTACACTTTATGATGAGTTTCATCCGTGTCTTCTGTACTTGATGGGCCCTGTTTTGTTATTTTCTTGAAGAAAACCATGACACACAAGTGATGCCTGCCTCAGTACATCCACTGACAGGCACACGCTTAGTTTGGGACCAGTGTATTGCTATTATGGGTGTACCTTTCCTACATTCTTCAGCAAGGTTTTTCACTCTAGATTTGTCTTGAAGAAAAGATCTTTTTCCAGGAGGAGCTGTGGGGTCCTGCAAGTGCCTTTTGACTCCTGGGGATCCCCTACATGCTTTCCTTTACTATTTTCATCCTCAAAGGCCATTGTTCAGTGACCATACTTCTGGGCACAGAGGGCTGGATGGATTCTCTTCTGACCCCCCTATAAGCTGATACTAAACCAGACAGAATGTGCCCTACAGATCAAGGGGAGCCACTTCTCCCTTGTGACTTTGTGGGGGAAGGGCTGTCACAGGATATCTTATAGGGATGCATGTTGCATTGCAAATTTGGGTGGGGACATTAGCAGATGGCTGAGTGCAAGATAAGAGGATCCTCCCCAACTTCCTTGCCACATATGCACACATTGTGATGCATGGAAATACTGGGGGAGGGGGTTCCCCAGTTGTTCCTACAACAATAGCAACATCTCTCACACTCTCAGAAACTTCACTATCCCTAAAACCCCATTCTTTCTTCAAATGCAATTTACCATTAAAAATAAAAATAATAAAAAATGAATCTGTGCAGGGGAGAAGAAAAAGGAAAGGGATAAAAATCCCTGATTTCAGAATCCTTTGTGGCATTTCTGCCCCAAAGAAGCAAGCAAATAAACAACCCCCCAAACTCCAAAATACATAATTGCTAACTGCTTGACACTGCTTGTTCCATATATGGCCAAAAAAGGCTTTCCATTCAGTGCATATCATTTTGATCATTTTACTTATTAAAATATATTAAAATGTATAATCAGACTTCTCAAAGCAGTCTAGGGGAATCTTTCATTAATGATAGTGGAAGATATGGCTATATCAGAAATCTGGCTAATTTACACAACTGGGCATCTAAATCCCTTCAGTGGATTTGCAAATATCAGCCTATGTGTCTAACTCCCCTACACGGCTTTGAGAACCTCAACTATAATTTACATATATGTGTTGCAAATATTGTGACTCGCACTTTCTCTAATGCTATACATTCAGTAAACCAGATTACTGCAGTTATGAACATTCACTAGGTTACTCTCCCAGCTAGAAGGGCTAGAAACCAAATTTGATTTTAATCAAAAGGGTAGAGTCAAAACATCCACCCTGCTCCAGAAAAGAGCAGCATGGCCCCTCTTGACATAGGCTGGCCTGAGAACCACTGGCACAGACCACTAAAAGAGCACACTCTTTTGGCACACAGTGGAACATTAGAACAATAGACCACACATCATCCAATGGACCATTGGTGGGATGAGCCCAATAGAGCACGCAATGGATGTTCAAAGTTTACCAGTAAATTTTTAATTGAAAAAGTCTAAAATAGAAAATGTTTCAAGGCAGATCTCATCTGCCCAAATCCCAGACGAAACAGGGAGTGCTACCTAGCAAGGTAATTTAATTCATGATGGCTCAAATACCAAGGCAAAGAGAGTGGTATCAATGCCTACGTAGGAAGGCTGGTTCTGTGGTTAGAGCACTAGCTGATGATCTGGTTTCAATTCCCAGCTCCACCACAGACTTCCTGTGTGACCTTCAGCAAGTCACTTAGCTTCTCTGTGACACAGTTCTCCATCTGTCAAATGGGGAGAAGAGCCCTGCCCCACTTCATAGGGGTGTTGGGAGGATAATTACATTAAAGAGTGTGAGGGGCTCAGAGACTATGTTAATGGTGGCCATATAAATATCATAGATCAATTAGATTCGTTGGACTTACCTGTACTATGTTTGGCTGTTTGTTCACTGGGGTATCATCCAATCTGTCCCTTCTATGATCCAGCACAGGATGTGGGCCATTTCCGTACTGACACTTAAAACAGGAGTCGGCGTCACACCCCATATCCATTAGAAATTTGAGCAGACTGAGGTACTTCATTGAAAACATGATGGTGGCTGGGAAACTAGTGGGATGGCTAGAAATGTACGCATCAATATTTGCCCCATGGTCTAGAAGCAGCTTCATAGTTTTCAGGCAGCCGTGGCGAATGGAGATTAGCAGGGGGTTGATAAGATCGACGTTGGGGTTGGCGCCAGCTTGCAGCAGCAGCTCTGTGGCGTAGATATTATTGTTAATGACGGCGAAGTAGAGGACGGTGCTGCGCCTGTCCTCGTAGAGCCGGGCTCTCTCGTAGGAGAGGGTGGTGTTCACATCATAGCCGGCCTCAATTAGCTCTTCCAAGATGTCATTGTTGTTGCGCTCTGCCGCAAGATGGAGCGGGCTGATGCCACTGCGCTTGACCCGAGTGCGGCTGGTCACGGGGAGCAGCCTTTTGACTATCCTGCAAGTAGGGGATTCAGTGGATAGCTGTTAGCCTTAGACAATCTACAGCAAATAATAGTGAGACACAGGAGTGAGCCAGCTGCTCATGAAAGTGAAGGATTGATAACACAGGCAGGAGCCGTGTTATCCCCCACAACTCGGCCAGTGCATTTTCATCCTGACAGGGTGGGGTGAGGAGCAGAGGAACTGCCAGACTGGGTCAGACACAACGTCCATGTGGTCCAAGGGGCCTCTGACAATGGCCAACATCAGATGCTTCAGAGGAAGGAGTAAGAACTCAGCAGATGTAGGATAATCTGCCCCCACATTAGGTCTCACCCTAGTCCTTAAAAATTAGGATTAGTTTTGACCCTGAAGCATTTCTATGCATTGATTTTTCACAATGCTTCAAACGAGAGGGAGAGAGCAAACCCAGAAGCTCAGTTCTGAGCTCATCTCGGAAGTATATTCAGGTCCAGGATCGAAGCCAGCGTTACACTTCAGGTACCAAATCCAACTCCCTGCACTGGGCACCACTCTGGAGCCCTTCACTCTGTGGGTATGGGGAGGGGCAACTCCATGGGGCTATCGGAGTCAACCCAAGCTGGTCTGGTTGTGATGAGCCAAAAGGACAATTAGGAATTAAAATAAAACAAAGAACCAAAGCCGTTTTCCAGGCAGATTGCCAAGCATTAGCCCAGAGGAAAAAAAATGTTCAGCAAAATTATAAACCTCAGTAAACAGGAATTTCTATTGGAAACAACGGTGCTTCCTTAACAACTCAAATAGAGCTGCCATCATCCTACAGCCTTAACAATAAAAGTGTGATGAGTATTAAACATATAATAACAAATCCATGGTTGCTTTTAGGTCTTCATAGTTGTTACTATGGGCACGCAATCTGCAATGAACATTTTATTCAGTGAGTTTAGCCCTTCTTCCTGCTTATAAATCATCTGCAAACAGACAGGAAGGTGGGATTTTTGGTCACGGCGCTAGGCTGAGGCCTCAAGAAATCTGTGCAAGCCACTTAATCTCAGTGCCTCAGTATTGTCCTCTCTAAAATGAGGATAATTAATACTTTCCTCCCACCTCACAGAGTCTGGGTGCGAGCCTGAGCCCGGATTTCTACACAGCAATGAAACAGCCCCACAGCCTGAGCCCTGAGAGCCCGAGCTGGCTTGCATGGGCCAGTCGCGGGTGTCTAGTTGCTGCGTACACTTACCCTGTGAGTCTAAATTCATTGAAGTCTGTGAGGCATTTGGTTACTAATAGTGATGAGCACCACAGAAGAGAAAATCAATAGCAGACTGGGTTTTTTATTAATGTATTCACGCTTCAAACCTGACATACGTTTTCTGTGAACATTCTTCAACCTATGGGTTGCTGGACGCAGCAAGTATTCCCTTGTGCGTTCACTATTTCTAACTCCTTACCTGAGCTCAATCACAGGACACAGTTTCTCTTCTCTGAACTAGACAACCCAACTGTTATAACTTACTGTTGTCCAACAAAGATTTAGTTCATTTGTGAAACAAATTTTGGGATTAAAGTAATCTCCTCATGGGCCTCAAATGTATCTTCCACAAATAGGTGTATGAATACATGAAGGTTTGTAAAGAGTGAATGAAAAGACATTGAATATGATGCAAAAGTCTCCTTAGAAGGGGGTCTAAAGGTGCAAATAATTTTTCACCCAGCTCTAGCAGTCCCCATGCTGCATTGTAGCTATCTGGAATTTTCCAATGGGGGAGGGGAGCAGAATTTAGATTATCCTGTGCCAAAAGCAAAAGCATAAGCCTGTGCCACTTGAGCTAATGAAAAATCTCTGTTAAGTGATAGCAGCATGTGGTCTTTGACACACAGATAAGCAGTGTTGATTCCAGTTCATAGAAGGCACTGCTATATGTACCCGAGAAGCCAACTAGTTCTTCAGAATGTCTCTGAAAAGTGTGCAAGCTTGTTCGGAGATATGGACAACTAACACACTATATCAGATGGCATTAAACTTTAGTTCATTTAATCTTTTCTCTCTTATTTGAACTAGGATAGTTAGGGTTGTAAACACTGATTTGGATAAAAACAAGTAATAATAAATAATGGTCATACTGTGGGCAGGATAATTAATAATACTTAGCACTAGAGAAGTTCCTGAGCTAAAGCCGTACGTCAGAACACCCCAGCTTTTGTGTGGTTCAGAATCTGAACCTGCTTCAAATTTCCTATCTGGCCCCCTTCTCTAACAAATCAAGCCAAAATTCCTGATCAAAACACATCTAGCTCTAAACAGATCTAAAACACTGGTCAAAACTTTTTATTTGAGAAACAAATTTTTTTAATTGAAAAAATGCTTTTTTCTGTCAAAATGGTCATCTTCATGGGAAATGTCTGTTTGTGATGACAAAAAAAAAAGATAGTGAGGGTCTGCTGAAAACTCCCAAAATGAAAATTTTTAGCAACACAACCAGAGAAAAATCAGCAAATCAATTGAAAGTTTTCAGTAAAACTGAATTTTTTTTGCCTGACTGGCCAAAATTTTTCTGGTCTCAACAACCAAATGCCAACATTAAAAAAAACAAAACAAAACAAAAAACAAAAACAAAAAAAAAAAAACCCCACCACTTTTGGGTCTGGGGCTTTTGACAAAAACCTGAAAAATTTCAGTATAACCATGTATAGTGAAATTTTTTGCTGGGAAATAAAGATTTCCTGACTAGCTCTGCTAAATACCCCCAGAATTTGTGTGTGTTTTGAGAAAATCTAGATCTGAATCTTGTTGCCTGGGTCCATCCCTGCGCAGCAATTATACAGCAGGTGGTGAATAAGTACTAATTAACAACTAACCCATTCCTTCACTCAGCTCTTGAGCCTCCTAAGCCATCATAACTAACAAATAAACAACAAACATTTAAACCCCCTTAGAGTCCATTTAAACCAATTTAGGGCCCAATCCTGCAAGACGTTGGGTGCCTTCTATAAGGTACTGGCCATCTTTAGCTTGACTGCAATGGCAGCTGCTCAGCATATCCCATGATCAGAATATTTACAGGATAAATCCAACTTAATAGTAATTATTATAACTTTTAAAGCATCTGATGATGCCATGTGCTTAGCTGCTCCTGAATGGTGCGAAGCTTCCTCTACTCGGACTAAAATGAGAGTTGGAGACATGCAGAACCTTATATGCCTATTTACATGTTGGACTATGATGTCTCCCATGGCAAGTTTATAGCTACACCATTATTTATATACCTGAAGAAGTTTTGTCTTTATTTAAGGAAAAGATCCAAAGCCTACAGAGGAAATTTCCACCCAGAGCCTTTCTCAAAGCAGAGACTGACCTCATGTAACAAAGATGCTCACCAGAATCCAGGCGATTTGGGTGCTGCTTAGATGGCTATCATCCATCACCAACAAATGCTTCATAATAGCCATAAAAGCAAAAAAAGCACATGCAGCACTGCGATTACACCATGCCAACTGCCAGCATTAGTCATCCCGTGATTTACTGGGTCTTGTTAAGATTTAAGGGTTGCTTTTGTTCTCTTGCTCAAGAAGTGAATGTGCTCAGCCCAGCTCTCTGTATCTGATTGAGAGGGGCCTGAAGAATCCTGAACTCCGAGTGTATTTGAAATCCGTACTTGGCTCTGGATCTGAATTTTGCAAATGTCCCCTCTCTTGCTAAAGTGACAAACCCAAAGCCCAGATCCAAAGCCCCCTGCATGTATTTTAGGATTGGGGATGGGGAACACTAAAATCGGTATCAGGAACCTAATTTTGCAGCTGGAGCCCATCTCTCTTTCTGACCCCAAGGGCTCTGTTCAGCATGACCGTGCCTCCAAGGCTGCAGACTGTACTTCCTATTCAAAGGTGGGGGGTTCTTCCCAGTGAGAGACATCCAAGCAAAGCCAATTACTGCTTTACATGGCCACCCAAGGCCACCTCCTTCACAGGGCCACCCAAGTGCCATACTCACACTGGAAGTGATGCTGGATTCCCCATGGTCCCTACCACCTGACCCTTTCTGCCACCTGAGACCAGGGATGCCTGAACTAGGGACACAGGGAGTGCAGCAGCGCCCCCGGCTTGAAATGGTTTTCATCATATACAGGGTTTTCAGTTTTGTTCAATGGCTTCCAGCACCCCACTATACAAATTGTTCCAATGCCACTGCTGGCTGCATTGCCTCCCAGCTGCTGTAGATAATAGGATACCAATAAAAATGCACCTAGTGATTGACTGCCATCTTTAAAAAATCAAAATAAATCACAAACAAATTCTGCCCTTCTCCACCACCACTCCTGAGCACTGGGAAGAAAGGGGTTAAGTGACCTCTTGCTATGATCATGACACCGATGATACACAATTATGAATTCCATGCCAACAAAATTCATTTTACATTAATATTGACAAGGCATCATTTAAAATAAACAAACACCAAGCAATAAGAGTTGAATGTTGAGCCCTGGGACCACATTCTTGGCTTTTTGACGTTATGAAGCCTCCGTGTTCTGGCAGCAAGTCTGAATGTGGAATTCCTGGAGAATTACATATTAAATCCGCAGGAATATAAAGAGAGGTCACCATGAAGGGTGTTATTATACTGAATACCAAAGGAATTAAGAACGACTGGCCACTTGGGGTAAAGCTTTGTCATCTGGATAAATATTTGATTTTGGCCGCTAAAGAAAGGATACTTTTGTTTCACTTCAGTTCACAGCAGTTATAAACCAAAAAATGTGTTCAACCTTTTAAGTGTGAAGGAACTAAGACTTCTGACTTAATTCTGAACTCATTTGCACTGATGGGAATCAGCAATGACTGGTGAGAGATTTGGATCAGGCCCCTTATTTTGAAAGTGGGGTTGGACTCAAGTTGGAGAGCTTTGGAACTGAAGTTAAACTTGTCCAGGTTTTGGGGGTGTTCAAACTGAGAGGTCTTGTTCAGGTTTAGTATAGGCATTCAGATTCAGAGCCACTTTTCCAGAGTTTAGGAAAGGAGGACTGAAACGGGTTTTTGCTCTGACCCTTTTCTAGTTTAAAATACGTTTGTTTTTAAGAAAATCTCTTTTTAACTTAAACCCCAGAGAGAATTCTGAGTCATGCCAGCAAAAGGCTATAATAGCTACTCCTACTCACATGATAGCAATATATACATCAGTTACATAAATTCACTCCGGGATGCCTCCTAGCACATACAGCCTCCACAACGGTACAGTTACAGAAAATAATAATCCTTATATACATCACAGTAATATGGAGAAGTTTAGTTAATGTCTGCAAAGTGCACGGAGATCTTTGGATAAAAGACATGGTGTTGTCAAAAAGGTTTGGTTCTTCATGCACTATGAAATGGGAAAAATCCATACACACATTTTGCAGCTGTATTTAGTTTCTGATTCTACTATTTATTTGGGGATTTTCTGGAAAAATTAATAGATCCATAGAATTTAAGGCCAGAGGGAATGATTAGGATCACCTAGTCTGATCTCCTGCATAACTGCATAGATTTCACCAAGTGGTTTCTACAACAAGAGCATATTTTTTAGAATGATATCCAACCTTGGTTTAAACACTTCAAGTGCATTGGTTTTTGGCATTATTTGACTAGCTCTAGTCATTACATGGTTTAATGTGCACATCAGCAAGAATAAACCATGCTAAAATATTGTTGGGCCACACACATCCATCACATCCTATGGTAAGTTGTTCCAATAGTTAATTACTCTCATTATTAAAAATGTGTTTTGTCGAGCTTCAGCTTTCAACCACTGGAACTTGTTATGCCTGTCTGCTAAATTAAAGAGCCATCTATCAGAAGTCTTTTCCCCACTTACAGAAGGTGATCAAATCAATTCTTAACCTTCTCTTGTTTAAACAAAACAGATTGATCTTATTTAGACTGTTACTATAATTTATAGCATATTCTGCAGACCTCAGATCATTCTTGTAGCTCTTTTCTGAACTCTTTCCAACTTCTGAACATCCGTTTCGAAGTGCGGACACCAGAACTGGACACAGTATTCCAGCTGTGGTCTCTCTAATGCCATAGAGATTCATTTATCCACTCCTCGCCTGTCATTTATCCACTCCTCGCCTGTCAGCCTCTGAGTTATTGTTCTCTAAAAATGGTGATAAAATCTGAACACACTGAAGAGTTGGGCAGCATGTTCTGCTTCTGAAGGCCCACCACTAATAAGTAATATCTCAGCTGAGGTAGCAGGATCCATCCCTGGTGTGGAAGGGAAGGCCCTATGACTGGCTTATACCATCCCAGCAAACACACCCTTGAGTTTAGTATTTGAAACCCAAACTCTGTGAATATAGGGCCAGATTCCTAGGTGGTATAAATAAGTGTTGTTCTATTGACTTTAATGGAGATATACTGACATAAATATGTGAGTATCTGGGCCATTAATTTAATAAAATATCTGAATTCCTTTCTACAGAGTGAAATGATACAATAAAGTGATTAAAAACACACCAAAAACTTACTCATAGTTGCCTTTTTTGGATGCTATATGAAGAGGTAATAACCCATCCTTATTGGCTTTGTTAGCATCGGCACCTTGGGACAAGAGAAACTCCACCACCTTTTCATGTCCATTTTTACAGGCTTCATAAAGAGCAGAGGCACTATCGCTGGCTTGGGTGTTGATATCAGCTCCTAAGAGCACAAAAAACATTGAAAGCTAAATGGCTAGAATCAGATGTAACATATTTTGGATCAACAGCCCAAGTCTCCATGACTTACCTAAGGTTTCAACTACAAAACTGTCAGTAAGGTCAAGTGATTGCTCATATTTTCCTAGCACTATTTGCTGGGGTGGGGTGAGAATGTGGGCAAGGCAATAAAAGAACAGCTTATGTCTTCTTCACTGTGTTTCTGCTATGAGGTAAATGTTTTCCCCAGTGCTGAGGGACTGAGTGTAACAGGGTAGTCCCTGGGGCCAGCCACTCCACCAAGGACAAACCATTGCATATAAGTGGTAATACACTACATAGGAAGAGAGATTAAACAGCAGTACCCACAGGATAATACCCACAAAGGGTGTCTACAGTTAGATTCTGGTCACGAGCCCAGCCTCACCCTCCCCAGCTTCTTTACCACGGTTAAATATGGTTGAGGAGAAATCATGTTATAACATGGCCTTTTCTTGCCTGCATGGACAGAGAAAGTCCCATGTTATATAACCCTGTGTTGAAGAACCATGTTTTAATCCTTGTGCATATATCCAGGCTAAAAGATGATTCTGTAACATGGTAGGGATTTTGCATTTTATTTTATTTTTTGTATTGACTAGCTCTAGTCATTACATGGTTTAATATGCACACCATCAAGAATAAACCCTGATAAAATATTGTTGGGCCACAACCACCTTGAAATGTAGCTATTTTTGTGGCACAGTTTTAGGACCTGAAAACCTGTGTCAATTTCCAAACTGGGGCTTCGATTGTAATACACAGTGCCACTCTGCCTTCAGGCTGCCTGATCTATGGGTATCTTAAAAGAGAATTACAATCCATTGTTTTTCTGCTTCCCAAACTCTGATAAGAAACAAACAAACAAAAAGTACAGCCAATCAGTCTTTTGTTTGGCCGTGAAAACTCCCCGCCAAAGAGAACATTTCCCCCCTAGCTGAAACATCTGTGTTTTGTTTGGCAATTTAAAGATACTGTAGCTCGAAACACCAGGAGAATTTCAATGACAAAACACAAAACAGAGCTACTTTCTTAATGAGAAATAAATGAAATCTTTCTTTTTTATTTATGGCAAACATTGCTTATTGTAAAAATACAATTATATTATTACTGAGATTCTCAGCGGGTCTTTTATGGCCGGGGAATATTGGGCACTTTTATTGGACTTTCCTCAAAACTGAACTTTAAGGGAATACTAACATGTAATTGAGTTGAACCACAAATTATATTCAAATCAGTGTTTTAAATCACGATGGAATAACTGGTTAGTTTTCAATGTCGCATAAAGCTGACTTGTGAAAAAAGTGAACTGGAAAGCCAGCAATATCTTTTGTTCTCTATCAGCCATAACTGCAATCTGTATTTTTACAGCCACATATCTTTCTTTAGAGATTTTTCTTATCTTCATTGCAGTTTAGTTCTTATTTCATCAATATATTTCTATATGCTGGGTCTGATTCTCCTTTACTCTAAGGAGGCTGCACTGCTCTGGCAGTGTAAAGGAGACAGATTAAATTATATTCAGTATAATTATATTTGCATCCACTTTTAAGGTCCTTTGACATGACTAGAGTGGTGTAAGTGGCCTTAGTGTAAATGAGAATCAGGCCCACTATATCTATCCATACAAACACACTGACACACCACATATTGGCTGATTCCCAGCTGGTGTAAATCAGTGTAGCTCCATTAACTTAAATGCTGCCTCACCAATTTATACCAGCTGAGAATCTTTATTATTTGATAAACTACATAAAATTCGTTGTTTGCACTGGACATTAACGACAGGCTTAAGCATGGTCTCCTTGTATTTGCTGGCCTGTTCACAGCTGAAAGGGGCCGATGTATCATTTCTTTGTAAGGGATGGTGAAGCCAAAGGGTTGGTTTTACATGCATCATGAAGTGCCAGGAATCTGCTCTGGTGCATGTGTAAGAGAGATTTTAAGGTTATGAACCCACCTGAGAAGAAGTGAGCACAAAGACTCATGGGACTACAGGAGAGAGCTGGATTCTAAAAGGCCTTTCTGGGGGGGGAAGTAATATGAGATGTGACTTCTTGACTCATTATGAGAATCAAAATATTCTTATTCTTCCTCCGACTGACTAAGAAATATATTCTTCCTGGGCCATATCTTGCTTGTCTTACTCACAACAATAGACATGGTAACTTCAAAGGGACTAACTCCTCACATGAGTAATGAGAGCAGGATTTGGCCTTACCTAGGGACTTTAAAATCCTCCCCCCTCCCTAACACTAATAAATGTATTTAGTGCTTTTCAACTGCAAAGTGATTTGCAAACACCTCCTCATTAATCCTCCTGGCACCCCTATGAGGTGGGAATGGTGAGTATGGTATCGCCTTCTGTAAAATGGGGATAACGAGGGGACCAGCCCCAGCGCAGGTGTACAAGTGTGGAAGGTACCAGAAGTCTTCTCCCCTCTGTGCCCCTTGCTAAAGGGTCGGACAAAAATCACATAGATTTCAAAGACTGATCCTTGCCTTCTGGAGCACAAGCCACTTGAAAAGGGATAGGGAGGGAAGGAACCAAGCTAAGGTCCCTCCTACCACCTCGTCAGCCAACAGAGCTGGCTGTGCGAGAAAGGGGGTGTACGCTGCACCCTCCTACAGATGAACAATGCTGCACTTTCTCTGCATGATGTGGAGCTCTAGGAGGCTTTGTGCCCCTCATTGCTCCCACTGGAGACCTGTGGCTCCAAAACTCCTACTCAGGGCTATGGCTGAAAGCTACAATAGAGCCTCAGTGAACTACCCTATGCCACAAGAGGGAGTCCCTTGGACCATGGGAAAAAAATATCTTCCCTGTGACCTTCTGAGAGACAAGGTGGATGAGGTAATATCTATTTATTTCACTTCAGAAGTCGGTCCAATAAAAGATATTCCCTCACTGACATTGTCTCTGTAATATCCTGACATAGGTACAACAGCATTGCATACTGTGAACCTTCAACATTATGGAAAACAGGACAAAGTGATATAATATTTGAGGAGAACTAGCTTTGCTCAAGTCATATCTTACCGAATGTTCATGAGCAGACCGTGCTTGGCTAACATTTAACTCTGACCTTATTCTTATCTTTCCCTGTCTGTGACCCATTCTTCTGTCCCTGGATTTTTATGATACACATGTACAGTGAGAGTCACAAAAATTTTTGTGTTATCATTGCCGCACAAAGTAAGGGCACCAAATTGCTTCTAAACCAAGTGTCCATTGATACTGAAGAAGCACAATCATTGTGCACCTGTATTCTAACCAGCAGCACCCCCTTCTCACCCATGTGGACTGTTCTTGCTAGAAGCTTCCATGGGAGCAACAGGTGTTCACCACCTCTGAAAACTAGGTCTCATCTCCAGTTGGCTACTGAAAAACTGAGCCAACCAAAATTAGTGGATACTTTTGAATATTTAGGCCATAATATATAAAGCAAATGAACAGCACCACTGTACTCACCACACTTGGCAAGGTATCTCAAAGCATCTAACTGCCCACCCTCGGCAGCCACAAATAAAGAGGAGATCCCATAGGTGTTCTTGCTTTCAATCTTGGCTCCCCCTTTGATCAGGATATCAATTATTTCTATATCATTCCGGGAGACAGCCTCATGGAGAGCAGTCCATCCCCGATTGCATCGGTGGTTTGCATCAGCATTGTACTGCACCAGCATCCTTACAGCTTCGACGTTTTTGCGTTCACAGGCTGTTTCAACAAAAAGCAGGTCATTTAGGCCAAACTTTTCAAGAGGCCACTAACTCTGGGTGCCACAGTTCTGGGTGCCCCATTACAACATGCTAGAACCTGAGGTACCTAGAATCACAGGCACAGGTGCCGGCTTCTTCTTTGCCCGGGAATACTCAACCCCTGCTCTGTCCCTGATCCCACTCCCACGCCACCCCTTCCCTCAAGCCCCCATCCCCACCCTGCCTCTTCCTGCCCCCGCTCCACCCCTGCCCTGCTTCTTCCCACTCAGTTCCACCCCCAGCTTTCCTTTTGTAAAAAGCTTTAATCAAGCGTGTCCCATTCCCGCTCTTCCCCCTCCCTCCCAGCACCTCCTGCATGCTGTGGAACAGCTGATCCATGGTGGGTAGAGGCACTGGGAGGGAGGGGGAGGAGTTGATCGGTGGGGCTGCCGGCAGCCAGGAGGTGCTGGCTGGGGGGAGGGGGAGAGGTCTTGGGGTAAGACTGAGTCTTGCTGAGAAGATATGACTGTCTCTTTAAGGCACCAGGAGCCTTGTAATGAAGGGTGGGGCAATGCTCCTTTCTCTCCCAATCAAGCCTCCAACCAGTCAAAATAAAACCCTTGGAGAAGGGCATCACATAAGGCATCACATAAGGAAAGATTGTTCTGCTAGTAAGCCTTCAACCCTTACTCACAGAAGGAGCAGGAGTGACCTGGGTTCTCCTTGTGAGGCCTTGGAAGAGAAGTGAGAAATGCCTCCAGCCAGGAGGAGCACTGGGAAGAAATCTGTTGGTTATCAAAGTTTGAGTTTAAGATCATTTTGGCTTTGAAAGACTTTGGCAGCCATGCCCAGTGGAGCTGGTGCTAAGAAAGTTAAAGGGACCCACCAAGAAATAGGTAATATGCTGCCTGGGTAATACACTGCCACCTGTGGGCAAGCAGATTTTGTGCTGAGACTAGTAAATTTTCGTAACAGTTTTCTAAGGCTGGGTGTGCTTCCATATGCTATGTTTTGTCCCATCTTTTATATTGACTGAAAAGTGAAACAGTCCCTTAAATCTGGTAGCCTATTTTGGGCCAGATTTTCAAAATCCAGTGTCAAGCTGGGTGTCCATAAATCCAGGCACTCAAAGAGAGTGGCCACTTTGTAAAATCTGGGCCTATACGTTTAAGACTAGGCTAGTCAGAGCACTAGAGTGAGTACCATGGGCATTAGACAGAGCACTACAAAATGTACCATGGGGAACCATCCGTTCACAAGGAGATGGACCTGATGACCTAAGAGAACTTCTCCTTCTCCAAACTCTGATTCCATGGATTTTGTGTGGCTTTGCTGAATAAAGTGTGCTCAACACAAAGCAACAATGTAGCGTACCCAGGATACCTTATAGCATTTTTTCATATTAGCATACATCTGTTGTAGTAAATACTGTACATTTGTGCCTGTGCCCACACTATAAGTGAACGACTGACGTGTTCTCAATTATTTTTGTTCTGATATCTAATAGGTGCTTTGAATTTTGAATTTAAAAAGACACATACATACTCATATAGAAACAACATGGGCTTGATCTTTGGAGGTGCTGAACACCTGCCACTTCAGTTGAAATCTAGGGGGCTCAGCACCTCTGAAAATCAGGCCATTTACCTTTATAGAGTGGAGTCTCCCTGGACTTGTTTGTGATATCAGGTTCAGCCCCGGCTTGCAGCAAAGAAAGTAGGCAGTCCAGGTTTCCCCTGCTTGTTGCTATGTACAGCGGTGTCTCTTCCTGAAGCGTACGCTGATCAATGGTTCCAGGGTATGCTAATGAGATGTCATTGTTCCATAGTTAGTAAGGCATATAGCATATGTTGTCTAACTGAAACGGAGAACTCTGTTGCTAAACATTTTGGGGCAGGGATGATCTAAGTATACTTGGTCCTGTCTCAGTGTGGGGAGGATGGACTAGGTGACTTGAGGCCCTTCCAGCTCTACATTCCTATGATGATTTCAAACATGACACACCAAATGCTAAGAAATTACCCAAGAGATGGCTTTGCCATGCCATCCAGACCAGATTCCACTATTCTCTGCAACACCACCCAAAACTCTCTGATAAGAAAGATTCTTAAAAAGAGGAAAATAAAATCACGACATTACATATCACTCCATATATTAACGCTGCAGTAAATATGGCATTAGAAATCAATGCTGCGCTAAAAAAATGCATGAATGAGTTTGCTGACACATTAAAGTGCTTTCATCTATACAGCTGGCCTGGATTTAGACAGTCATAACAATACATGCTGGCTAACACTCAGCCTTAGAGGTGATGCATTTTCTGGTTATCAGTAAGAGGCACCTTATCTCACTGATGGAGAAATTAACCAGCATGTTAGCAACGGATCTGAAGCAGAACACAACAGCCAAGCCCCTCGAAGTGCAGATCAAGTACAGATGAGGATTCAAAGTTGAGGACTCGGGGCTGGGCCTGCCTGTATCATGGGATAAAGTGAAACACCAAATCTGAACAATCCTGAGCTTTGGGGGAAGTTTGGCTATGAAGCCAAATCTGGATGTAAATTCAGGCCCCTCTCTAGACCATCATCTCTGGGGGGTAATCCAGGACCCAAAGGGGTGGAAAATTTACCATGTTACTGCACAGAGTGTCTGCAGTCCAGCTTCTCTCACTGAGGGGCTCATAACCAATCAGCACAAGCGGCAAAGGTGACTGGCACGGGATAGGAGCAAGATGTGGCCAACGTATTCCCTGAGAACAGGATGACTCAGTGCGGCCCTTGGGCATACTCTGCTGGTGAGGCTCCAGTGAAGTCCGAGCCACAATGTAAAGCTGCCATGCCCCAGTGGAAAGCCTGGGGAAGGGTGATGATGCTGTCTTCAGCGGGAGGGGAGGCAGAGGATGGGAGTCTGCATGAGGATCAGAAAGGTGCAACTTGTATCTGCCAGTGCTGGCGGTGCCATTTATTGGATGAAATAGAAATAAACCGGAAGGGTTAGAGCATAAGCCAGTGCACCCCAGAGCAGTGCTCCTACTGACCATCGGTATGTAGCATGCCCTTTGACTTGACATCTTGGAGCATAGTGTTTAGATCCATGTGTTGTAATACCCAAAATCTGTGCTCTGCATTTTCTTTTTCGAGGCACTTTAACCCTTCAAAATCCTTCAGGGTCCCTCCCCTCACCCCAAATAAACAAAGTCAAAGTAGGTTGAGAACATCCTGTAGATTGACTATAAAATAGGTTAGAGAATAATAGGTCGGACACTAAATTAGGTTAAAATGTTAGAAATGTAGGTTGACTATAGCAACTGGTGATTCAAAAAGCAATTGAGCAACTGTTCTCCAATGGGAACTTGAAACCAAAAGTAAACCAGTAGCCCCATTATTAACTATTAGCAAACAGAGGCCAGGCCAGATCTTGAGCTGGAGTATATTGGTGTAGTTCCTCTGACTTCTCTGGAATTACATTGATTTACACCAGCTCAGGATCTAGACCACTATTTTATACCCTAAGAAACCAGATAATATGGGGCAAGCCTACATCAACCCAGAATAGCGACAGATATCAATCAGCACTTAAGATCTTAACTGTTGTTTATTATGTACAGACTGCAAGCTGCTTATTCAAATAGGTGAAATTCATACACATGTACAAAGCTTGAGTAAAGGGTCTTTTAGCAAGGAACTGAACAAAGGTTGGTGCGATGTATTAAAACTCTGTTAAAATTGTAGCTTGTCACTTTAAATTTCAGGATTTTTCCTGATCCTGCTTGCAGTCTGTAGGAAAGTGTGTGATCTGGGCCTAGCAGCACTCAGTCTGCAGCCAGCTAGCCTACAGTCAGGTGGAGTGAGCTGTGCCTCTCTGTTTCAGGGAGCAGCCTGCTTTGTCCCCCTGTGGTTTTAGGTTCTTGTGTGTTATCTAAGAAATAAAGTAGTGTTACAAGTGCAACCTTTCAGCAAGAGTATTAATCTGTCTCTGTGTGTATGCCGTGAACAGAACATGGGAGTGGTTATATTTTCTTCTTTTTGGCTGATATTTTTAGTTTTTCTTCCATTTGTAATCAGCTGTTTTTATTTTACTAACCTCTTTGCAACACTTTCAGGCAGCCTGCTTGGCCATAGTAGGCAGCTTCGTGCAGTGGTAGCCAACCATCCTTGTTAGGTTCGGAAAGGTTCTTCCCTGATTTCATCATATTGAGCAAGGCACTTTCATCTCCTTCCTTGATTGCTTCCACTACAGGATCCAGCTCTCTTTAAAACAATGTTGAAAACCAATGACATTTTGCAGCATTACAGTAAAGCTTTTTTTTTTTTAAACCAAGATGGTTTAAAGCCTAGAGCCCACATATGCAAACTAAAATGGCAAGATTTTGGTGGCTCTGGGGTGCACTGGCTGCAATGGACACTAGCTCTATAGTACTATGTGATTGTACTCCCATGTACTGCTTTCCTCTAAAAGGTAACTCGGGATGGTCAAACCTGTCCAGAAACCTCTTCCCAATGCTTTGCTCCAAACTCACACCTAACCTGCACCAAACTTTTCTGAGGTTTGCACAAGTTTGCTTAATTGTGTAAAAGAAATGAGCCCAGAAGTAGAAACGCTGAAATACCATGAGGGATTGTTCTTGTGGAAAGCAGAAAGTGCTGGGAACCTCACAAGAGAGCCTCTTCTGAGAAGACAGCTGGTCCAGTTTCTAAGAAGTCAGCAATGTAGTTCAGATCAATACCTGAACCTTTGTGTAAAGATCTGAAATCACGTCCATTGAGTTAAGGAGGGGAAGAGAAAAGCTGTCCACCCCAGTGAAACTCCAAACACAACACAGTAAGGACTAGGTATTAAAAAATGCTCAGTTTCCAGTTAGGCACCAAAATAAGTGGCCAGATTTTCCGAATGTTGAGTTCCTTTGAAAATCTGTCTGTAGGAATCACAATGGGAGCTGCTGAATGCAGAACAGTTGTGAAAAACTGGTCCTTTTTAAAATATTTATATGGTATCTGAGCTCTTGAAAATCTGCCCCTTAGCTCTTTAGAAAATCCCTAAAGGCACCTTCCTGAAAACCCCTCACCCAGGTGAGTAGTCTTCATTCCCATGAGTTGTTCTTTGAATAAAAACTACTGGTGTCAGTAAGGGGTTTGCTGGACCAGGCCCTAGATGCACTAGCCAAGCAGACTCCACTGCAGCACAGAAAGTTTAATGAGTGTCTCATTGGAGCCCTTGTGTGATTGGCCTGCAGCACAGCTGGTCAGTATAAAAGAATAGGTTTCAGAGTAGCAGCCATGTTAGTCTGTATTCGCAAAAAGAAAAGGAGTACTTGTGGCACCTTAGAGACTAACCAATTTATTTGAGCATAAGCTTTCATGAGCTACAGCTCACTTCATCGGATGCATACTGTGGAAAGTACAGAAGATGTTTTTATAGACCATGAAAAAATGGGTGTTTATCACTACAAAAGGTTTTCTCTTCCTCCCACCCCCAGACATTCTTGTTAAACCCTGGATTTGTGCTGGAAATGGCCCACCTTGATTATCATACACATTGTAAGGAGAGTGATCACTTCTGATAAGCTATTACCAGCAGGAGAGTGGGGTGTGGGGGGAAAGAAAACCTTTTGTAGTGATAAACACCCATTTTTTCATGGTCTGTGTGTATAAAAACATCTTCTGTACTTTCCACAGTATGCATCCGATGAAGTGAGCTGTAGCTCACGAAAGCTTATGCTCAGATAAATTGCTTAGTCTCTAAGGTGCCACAAAGTACTCCTTTTCTTTTTATAAAAGAATAAACACTCTGCTGCTTGGTTTCTGTCAGAAACAGGACAACTTCTGCAGCAGGAGCAGGAAGGAAGCGGGCAGTTTTAAAAAAAAACCCTGAATCTTGTGAACTGCTCAGACTAGTTACTGCATCTCTAAGGCAGATAGCAGGCGGCTGAATTCCCACTGCAAGAGCGATTCGGGATGGGGTCTATTCTGAGTAGTCCAGAGCAGGTGGGCTGGAGCACAAATGGTACAGGAAGCATCTTCTCTTCCCAGCACCCCATTCAGGCCCCAGGCAGAATGATGCTACTGGCTCTCCCTGAGCATATGGGGGTTCGTAAGGGCATGGCCAGCTTAACTGGGGGTGTGATCAAGGCTCCCACACATACACATACCCAGTCACATTCCTGCTAGCACCCACAAGCAGGTAGGCAGGGTAATTTAGGTTGCCTCTTTCTGCAGTGAGTGCTCAGTGCACTCTCCTCAACACATCCTCACAGGCATTGTGACATGCAGACACCATGCAGGTGGTCTCACTCCCCCCAGCACTTTCACGGGAGTATGGGCACAGTTTGGTCCCCTCCCCCTGCTACATCTTCCCTGTCTGATCTCTCTATCTAACCTATCTCTATCTCAGCACGTTTTCCCCAACAGTACCTGTACTCAGCCAAGCACGATTACGCTCTTTCACAAGGAAGAAGTCCAGCCTGCAATGGCAGCTTCCCCCTTAGGGTCAGAGCCACAGCCCGCGAGGAGGAACACCACGGCCCCTCTTGAGAGCATGGGAGAGGACATGTACCTCTGCACATAGGAGCCCTGTACAGTGAACAGATGAGGCTCAAGCTGTCCTGAACACATTGACCAAGCGCATTGATAAGGATCAGGCTTCTTCACTCAGATTTGATGCCCTTTGACATGTTTATGTTCCTGTTTCCCAGGCTCGAACTCTGAACTTCATGATGCAGTTAAAAATAACACCCGCCTGATTCCGTTGTGATTGCGACATGGAAGCCAGTGTGTATAAATAAACCACAACACACACATCCCTTTTCCTCTCTCCCCTGTCATCTCACAGATGTCTAGGGACCCACAGAAGCCTGCACATGTGCAGTAGAGTGCGGGGAGCCGTAGGGCTGAATAGCCCAGGAGTGACTGAGTGTGTGTAGAGGGCTTGGGAGCGGGCAGGAGAGGGCAGGCAGGATGGACAAGGGAGGAAATGAATAAGATTCCCTCAGGCAGTACTATGCATTCCTCCCAACACACATAATGCCACAACCCCCGCCACCCAAAGGCCTCCAGCAGGCAAGTGAGGGCAGACAGACAACAAGGCTAATTTGGAGCAAGACACAGCGAGACGGAGACACTTACACAGGCTGGGGGGTGATGAACAGGCTGCCGTTGTACCTTCGTCTGACCCCCCAAGATGACCCTGGAGCTTGGCCTCCGGACTGGGCTGCCAACCTGGAGTAGCGATGGCACGAATGAAATAAAGAGAAATACTCTGCATATGAGAAGCAGGTCATTTTCAGGCCCCTTAATAAAGGCAGGAGCCAAAAGAGACACACAGAGAGAAGGAGCCTGCCGCCGGGGCTTTGAATGAAAGCAGATGGCCACGGCTTGCTCTGCGCAGAACTCAGCTGCTCTCTCAGCTCTGAATTATTTTTGGCCCACTGAGGAAGTGTCAGGGGATTTGAATGACCATATAAGACAACAATGAGGTTAACCCCCCCACACTACACAGGAGGAAGATACAGAGCTAGATGACATTCTTCACCTCAAGGAAAGGAGGATCTGAGAGCACAGTCAGATGAGGAAGCCTGGTGAGGGGCTGAAATAGGGTCATTAGCACTGTGCATTCAGCAACGGGCCTCATGCCGGACCTTACCCTACCAAGGTCCAAAGCCAGCTAAAGACCTGGGGCCACAAACCTTCATGCAGGCTCCCATACCTGCCTAGTAATAGGGTGGGCAGGCTGTGCCCTTGCAGAGCAGAGGAGCTCTAAACTGCTGAGCTCAGGCAGAGGTGGGAGAGCATCAGTCAGCGTGCAAAGCAGCAGATGGTGTCCTGTGCTAAAATCAGCAGGAGGCAAGGGACCCTTCGGAGTGCAGGGCCAAAGCTGACAGATCTGCCCTGAAGCTGCCCCATATCAGATCCCCACTTCAGACACTAAGCAACATGACCAAGCCACACAACAGGTCTTATATCAGGCGCCGTACAGAAGTACCTCCACCAGATCTTGTAACACTACAACAATCACAGTGGGTACAATCCTGGCCCCATTTAAATGAATGGAAATTTTGCCAGGATTTCACTCTGTGTATATAAAACACCCATGACACCCATCACATTGTTTGGGGGCCTGTAATAAATGTGGCGTCATAAGATTACAATTACAGCTGTCAAAAATACACAAAATATATACAAATTGTTGTTCTTTTGCAGGGTTTGAAACACACCTTTTATTTTTTGATTATTTGGATTTTTTTAATGACCTTTTCCATCTTTTTTGAGAATTTTTCATTTTTAAAAATGAAAATCACAAATGTTTGCTTTTTAAAACAGCAGGTTCCTGTAACCCAGTGGGCTGCTTAGGCATTGGCCCCGAGCGCGACATTGTGTGGTAAGAGGGGTCTGCCTAGACGTGGAGTTACTCGGGTGCACCTGGGGGTACATGAGCTCAGAATTTGTGCCGAAGTAAACAAAAGCAATACGTTTGTGACATCTCAGTCGTGTTTACAGCCGTGTGTTTTATATACGTAGTTTGGTTCTTTTATGTGTGTGTGGGGGGAAATCAGAACCATTCCACATTTTTTCATAAAAATTCTGCAAGCCTCACCTGACTAGAACTAACTCAGGAAAGCACTCTGCTCCCTGCGGCGTGATGAGGCTGCCACCTGAGTGAGGTCTCTTTAGGTAAGAAAAGGTTGCAGGACTGGTCCAGTGTTTTGCAAAGATCCACAACTTTTAGCCGACATTCGGGCCCGAGGTCTAATCTAATTGACAATGGTGTCAGGCCAGAGTAATGCCGCTGACTCCAGTGGACCTACCCCAGCGGCAATGAGATCAGAAGCTGACCACTGTAAATTAATTACAAACTGGTCTGTTAAACGCGTTTCCGTGCTGGTCTATAAACCTGTTTAGAAAGCCATTTTCCACTGTGGGCTTTGTGACAGCTCCAGCCACTCACACACTCACCTGTGCCAAGGATAAATCTGGTTTGGTGGGTTATGAGAGCAAGGACGAGTCAACGTAGGTGGCTCTCCAGGGGCTGTCATGACCGATTTCTGATGACTCTGGGCAGCTGACTGACCTGAGGGATCTTCTGTCAAGCTTTGTTCTATGGCCAGCTGAATAAGCTCGTCTTCACTCATGCTACTGTACAGACTGTACTCTTCATGACCTATTGTTTTTCTCTGGGTGTTTGTTGTGGCCGTGATCTTTGTAGCCATCCTCTGCTTGCCTAGTACCAGGGGATAAGAAGAAACTGTAAAAATCAAAATCTTGAAAATGTGCAAGTGACGTTCAACCATCTTGTGTCCAGGGTCAGATCTGCACCTTGACTTATACTGACCAGAGTCCTTAGCATATTTTCAGTCGAGGAGAAAACACATTTTAATGAATCCACTAGAAGCGACATTTAAATTTAATGGGCTTGATTTCTTTTTTTCTCTTTTAGCCCTCTTATAATAATTGCACCTCGCGGACCCAGCTAATTTATCTCTTGCTAAATGGGAGAAGTTACAAATGAGTAAAGCAGACTTTCTTCTGCTTCCTTCAGGTGAGGGCACCTCTGGGCAATAAGATGTAGTGGAAATGCCCCAAGGGATTAAGAAAACACTGTCAGTTTAAAAATGAATCAAAGAAAACATTCACATGTCCCCCCTCTGTGTTACTCTTACTTGTCTTTGATTATTGAAGATGAAAGTTGCTGGGCCAGATCCCCAGATGGTGTAAAGCAAGATAACTGTTGATTTCCATGGAGTTAATCCCATTTACACTAGCTGAGGAGCTGGCCTGCCATGCCCTTTTCACCCTTTACGCTATTAGGTTACTTTCAGTAATGCACTCAGCTTGAACAACAAAAAAGATACTGGTCAGTTTCACTTCTGCACATCTGCTCCCTCTCCTGACAGCAGCACTTCTGCAGGCCCATGTTCCCATTGGTCACCCACCCCTAGCCTGTGCTAAATCCCTGGCTTTTCAGGGCCGTGCAGACACAAGGACTGATTCTCTGCTGCCCCCACACCTTGTGCACTCATTTACACGTGTGCAAAGAGGGTGTAAAATGCTACCCAATTGGAATGGCAGTGATTGATGCCTGCTTTGCATTCACTCTCTGCAGGTACGGTATATGAGACTATACAAGGCGCTGACTGGTGGACAATTGGGCTCAAAGAGCTCAAGTTCATTTCACATATCCACTTGGATGGGAGCATGCTGTACAGTGTGTCTTCCACCCTGTCTCCTTCCTTCCTCAAATGTACACTAAGCCCCAACATTAAAACCACCCGTGTGTCTTCCATAGGATTTGGGGGAGGGGGAAGAAAGGAGCATGCAGCGGGAACAGCATTCCTCCTTCTGGCACTAGCAGAGGAGTAAATATGACTCCTAGATAATCACCTGTTTGGGAGAAATAAGGAGAGGTTGCATTTAAAGAAAGAAAAAAATCTGATGGGCTTGCAGAAGTGCCCTGTTGGTTAATCCTTCAAGGCAGGTCGCTACCCTCCCAAGATGCTTAAAAGCAGCTTACAGGGAGTGGGAGAGACCCAGGAAGGCAGCTCCTTAGAGGAAGTAATGCACAAGGCTGAAAAAGCGAACAGCTGGTTAATGCTGCTACTCCAGTGGAAATGACTTCGCTAGCAATGGGGTTTCTAATAGCGAAACAAGAGCCAGGTGCAACTGTGCCAAAAGAGAACTTCTGATATGGGGTGACCAGACAGCAAGTGTGAAAAATCGGGACAGCAGTGGGGGGTAATAGGCGCCTATATAAGAAAAAGCCCTAAATATCAGGACTGTCCCTATAAAATAGGGACATCTGGTCACCCTGTTCTGATAGCTGAAAGCTGGTGAGTCCCTTTTCCTTGCACTGAGTCTCATTGGTGCAGATCTCCATCAGCTCTGCAGGATCCATGAGGGCCTCTCATTAGGGCTATTACTTTGCATCCCTTTTTAGGTGCTCTCCTGACTGTTCGATTGCAACCGACTTTTCCCAAGTATTTTGTAGGCCGCCATAAGCAAAATAACGGGCTCGCTCAAAATTGGGGTGAGGAGTCACATTTGTAAAGCTAAGCAGGACTTGAGGCACCTTAGAGACTAACAAATTTATCTGCGCATAAGCTTTCGTGAGCTACAGCTCACTTCATCGGATGCATTCCACTGAACGGAATGTCCCTATTCCACTGAACGGAATGTCCCTATTCCACTGAATGCATCCGATGAAGTGAGCTGTTGCTCACGAAAGCTTATGCTCAAATAAATTGGTTAGTCTCTAAGGTGCCACAAGTACTCCTTTTCTTTTTGCGTATACAGACTAACACGGCTGCTACTTTGTAAAGCTGTGTGCAAGGTCTAACAGAAGAGAAAAGCCTGGGTTCTTGGGAGAGATGTCAGGCACTGACAGGCCTGTAGCATTTGTACTGCTCTAAGCACACTGGGAAATGCCCACCCCTCTTGCCCCAGAGTCTCTCTTTCACGCACATACTGTAGGGAGCCATATAACCTTTTGTTGCTCTAGACCACCATTCATTCCCAATCACTCTAGGTGTCTGTACCAGTTTACTAGGCTAAGAACTCTGCTCTGCCAGCCCCCTGTGTAACTGGGCACTCTCCATTTCGATCTCTGGATCACTAGACTGCAGCTAGAGGAGAACATAACCCTCTGGTAGGGGTTATGGCAAGTACAGATGCATAGAATGTGAGCAGCAGTGGTGCATCAGAGCCAGGCACACAGGCATATCACTATGGTCCCAGGAACTTAAAGTATTTCATGTTCCAGCTACAATACGTTACCACTGCTCTAAGCAACCTTTATAGACTTTGTCTGTAGGGCAGAGGAGACAGCCCTGATGCTCGATTTTACAGTGGCGGAGGGATATGTCAAAATCGGTGAAGACGGTCTCTATTCATATTTCCATTGAGATGTGGGATGTTTTCTCTGATTACCATTAAATTTAAGAGCCTGAGTAAAACCTACAAAAGCAAGGAAATGTGGATTTAAGGACTCACCTTTATTCTCATTTATCCTGCTGTGCGAAGTTCCACAGGGTATATAACACATGTGATTACTGCCTGCATTGATCTCAGCCTCCAAGCACCACAAAAGCAAAAGAGGAAAAGTTAAGGGCGGAGAGTTACCCTTGATTTTGTATGTATTCGATCATGCTGGGAGTGGTAATCTGACTATTAAGGAGTACAATATGCAAGCTGTACCCCACAACAGTTGTCTAAGTAAAAGGTTGGAGGCTTGAAGTTCTTCAACCCTGTTTTATGCCAGATCTCACAAGGCTGATATTTCAAGCTGCAGTGGGGGAGGTTTAGATTGGATATTAGGAAAAACTTTTTCACTAAGATGGTGGTGAAACACTGGAATGCGTTACCTAGGGAGGTGGTAGAATCTCCTTCCTTAGAGGTTTTTAAGGTCAGGCTTGACAAAGCCCTGGCTGGGATGATTTAACTGGGAATTGGTCCTGCTTTGAGCAGGGGGTTGGACTAGATGACCTTCTGGGGTCCCTTCCAACCCTTATATTCTATGATTCTATGATTCTATGATTATTGTCTTCAGTGATAGCTGGCACACAGGCAGTGACAGCCTCAGGCCAGTGCTATGACCCCTGTGCATCCAAGGGATCTGTGCCAAGCCACCAAACAGCTGACAGCTGCAGGAACAGAGCCACAGTGGCCCTACCTCCCTTCTGAGCCACTCTGTTACCTATCCATGCTTTGACATTAGTGCCACAGACAAGTCAAGTACCATGACACAGACCTTCCCCCAATGGCTCTCTTTGCCCCAGGCTAGTTGAACTCCTGACATGTTGCTTTGCTGTTTTACACTCCATCATCCACTGTACTTGCTTGGCGGCTGGTGTCTGTGTGCTGTGGATGTATGGAGACCGCATTGTCTGACTGTACATGGCAAAGTAGCTGGATGGCATTTTGTATGATAGAAAGCCTCATACAACCTAGACATGAAGGTAATTTCTTAGTGTCCTTCTCCCCCTTTTTCTTTTGGTTCATCACCTGCAGAGTGTGTAATGGGGGGTATATGGGATCATGAATTTTGGGACGGCTCTTATTTTCTCTCTTGCGTCTTCTGTATGGGTTAAGCAATCCCACCCACTTGCAAAAAAATCCATATTGATGCTCTCCGCTTATCTAAATATTATGACAAGAGTCCCAGCGAGTGCAGAAACAACAGCGTTGGCAGCGGCTCCAACCACTGACTCATCCTGCAGAGAGAAATGGTATGGGGCCCAAAATAGAGAGAGTTTTTTTACTAGTAAGTCATGTTTCTCTCATCGAACTCGCAGGACCAAGTATGAGGGAGCCAAAGCCAAATTCCTGACTTCTAGGAATTTTCAGACAGGCTCGAAGTAACAGAAAGCTGAGGACATTCTGATTCCTTACTGACGAGAGTCCAGATTTGATTCTCACTCATTCTCTGCTAATAGGTCTCTCTTTTCATGCACATCCAGGGCTCTGACAGCAAGGTCACATTTTTACCGGACAACTGTACTCTAAAGCAGAGGTGTCATCATAACCAAACAAGTAGGCGCTTTCGATCCTGCGTCACAAGTTATATTGTCCTTGCTAAACAAATAAATAACAATAAACAATCCCAAATCACCATGGCCCAGAGCTAAGTAACGTGACTAGATGCTGGGGCCCTTCAGAGCGGGAGGTGGAAGGAATCCTTTTTTTCCATTCAACTTCAGCAAAAGGGTTGGAATAGGCTCCATATCATGCCTCTTTTGCGAGAATCATCATAGCATTGGATGTTCCAACCCCAGCCTGCCCCAAATGCTGCCTGTCACCATCCTGCCCCCAGAGAGTTAGCTCTGGCACAAAGAGTGTGCATGATCTGCTGTGTAGACATGCTGCTCTACTCATGTAGAGGAATCATGCCAATTCAGCTGTGTCAGGGGCCCTCTGCACCCACAGCATATGGGTAGTATATGGGTAGGGTTTGGGCCCAGAAGGCTCTGCATAACTCCACTCCACATAACTCCATTCCTTCTCTCTTTTGCTTTCTTATCTTCTTCCTCCCCCTCTGACTCCCATTGCTCAGACAGACCCACCCCTTCCATCTGCTGCTCCCTCTGCATCTTTCTCAAGCTCCTGTCTGTGGCCAAGGATTTCAGGCATGGGTGCCTCAAGTTAGGCTACTATTGTCCTTATGTAGGCACCTCAGTGAGTGTCTGGAATTACAAAAGGCATCCCTAGTTTTGAAAATCTTGGCCCACATGCCTGTCCTCATGACGTGCCTTATGTTTAGAACAGTCTCCCTGTTTTGTGCACCAGCAAATGACCACCTTCATCCACATCCTGCCTGGACACACACTTCTCCTGAGGACTAGTTAAGCAAGAATCCACCAAAGATAGAAAACAAAACTGCTCCATTTTAAGACTGGGCAACAGGTGTATCAGAACTAAGTCTGCTGAGGCAAGAAGCAGGCCTTCCTCTCTCTTTCTACAGACTGGAGCCAACCTGCAGTCTACTGCCGCACAAGAGCTGGTAAGTTACTGTTCCCTCTCACAATGCTTTTCTGATATGTAGCTGAGCTGCCTTAATTTAGTGGTGAGCTACCAAAATGACCTTATGAATGCCCCCTATAAACTGAATATTCCACATCCACTGCAAGGGAAATTAGTGCCATCAAAACTTTTTGTGGCTAGGAATGGTTGAACCAGTTTAGTTAAAGTAAGAATCAACTCAAGCCATCTCTTCATATTGAAAATGAATCTTGCTTGTAGGTTTCAAACTACTGGTTTAACTGTTAAAATGACTACATTTTATTTGGATTTGAACTTCTGAATGTCCCCTGAATTCTCAAGCAATACTGAGAATCTCACAAGAGCCTGTGCTCACACAATTATGATGAACCTATTGTGCCTGATAGGAACAGAATCTGAACGTTGAGGCGTTTTGCCCATCACTATTCATTACCAAAACCCTTTGCCTCTATTCTGAATTGCTGCATTACTGATCTCTTCTTTCATTGTACCATTTTGCTGACTGTGCTATAATTTAATATCTCAGTCTAACAAGATCCTCCTGGGTTTTAATTCACAGCCATCTCCACGTAGGGTCTGCTCCTGCACTTTCAGCACAGGCAGAGTTCCCCCTTGCTAAGTATTCTTCTTCTTTTTATTGGATTGACTTCAATGAAAGTTTGTCTAAGTAAGGCATAGAAGATCAGACCCATAATGTACATGGATATGTTACGCGTAAACAGAGACAAAAGTACATGGTAAGGAATGAAGTGCTAACATTGTAGGCCGGGTCATGACTTCCTTCTTTGCATAAGTGAGCAGTTATGTATGAGTAGTCCCACTGAAATCAAGGTTGCTACTCATGTGAGTAACTGCTCACCAATGTGAGTAAAGACTCACCATCTGCCTCTGTGGAAAAAAACATGGACATCTGTAGTTATCATTATTATAGGACTGTATGCTCTTTGGAGCAGAGACCTCCTTTTGTTGTGTGTGTGTGTGTGTGTGTATGTAGTGGCTGACAAAATGGGGCCCTGATCCCTGAGTGGGTCCTCTAGCCACTACCCAATGCAAATAAATAATATTAGTATAGGGAATAAAAAGTTGGTCATTAACTTCTTGAACCACCGTTCAGTACAATTAGTGACTAAGTATGACAATTTATATGAAACGACAAGTCGCCTCTGAACGCACCTCCCATAAAACATAATGTATCAAGACAGCCAGTCCCTGTTCAAAAGACTCAGGAAAGCAGCATTGCAGCTTACTGTTAGAAAAGGTGATAGTAGGTCAAGGATAATGAAGAGGTCATTAAAGGAGCAGTGGAGGGGATCTTGCCTTAGCACTGATTTCACTCTGCTCAACTTGTAGGTAGATACAGAACTTCAGTTTCTTTGGTTTATGCTTCATTAAATGGCATTGATCATGCTGACAACAACAACAAGATTAAGAGACTCCAAATGAAAGAGTTAAGGAGGATTTCTTGGCTTACTGTTTCTTTTTCTCTTAGTTTTTAAGGCCCCAATTCAGCAAACACTTCCACACATACTTAACTTTACATATGAAGTTAACAGGATTGCTCATATGTGCAAAGTTATGTATGTCCTTCAGTCTTTGCGGGGTCGAGGCCATTACTTGTGCCTTTAGGTCTTCATGTTTTGGACCAGATCCTCAGATGGGGTTGAAGTCTATGGAGCTACGCTGATTTACACCAGTTGGGAATCTGGCTTTTTTTTTTTTTTTTTTTTGGTAAGTTGCCAGTCAAACCTCTGCAATTTTCCGAGTAAATTATGGCAGTTTACTGCTAAGGATATCATGGGCTTTTTAAACAATGAAAAGATTTTCCATTTGAAACCATGCAGAATTACCGTGTTTAGAGGGAAAACAAATAATGTAGGGCAGCAGCAGCAGCAGCCAAGTATACTTTTGCAATAACGGTTGATGCAAGCCGGTCAAGTTATAGCACGATGCAGAATAAAGCAACTATAGGCTTCCAGATGGAACTTTCCAGGTAAACAAATCCATTTCAGCCCCAGCTGTCAGAACATGTCTAACTGTTTATGAAGTAAGCTTGGCATATCTCACAATGCCATCAAACCATGAGTCTGCACAAACTCTTTGATGCAAAGGGTTTATTTCTTACCAAACTGGATCCCAGTACAGAGTTAAGTGCAATAACAACTTCAGAGATATAAGTGAAGGGAACCATTTGCTAATATCATTTTGCTAGTTTACTCTATACCTGGTACACTGCATTCACTTTACAGTACCTTAAATATGTCACAACAACATCAGCAACTATCTTTCCATGTGCCTTAGAAACAAGACATGCAAACATTCCAAGTGCACATTCTGTGTAAAGGAAAAGTAAATAAACTATGCAGCTATGATTCTTTCCAACCATTTCCAAATTAAATTTAACTGATGAGCGTTTTAAAAAAAGTCTTGGTTAGTTTACAAAATATTATAGGAGGAAGTTTTTTCACAACCCATAACACGTCAATAGATTCTGCATAAGATAAGTAAATTTAAAGCATGCACAGTTGCATTACCTGATGGTTTCTGAAACAAAACAATAATGCTGCAAAGAGTTCTCTCCTTGGGTAAGTCTCAGTACAGAAAATCCCCTTTAGTATTCATCTCTTGCCTTTCCCTGGGTGCTCTGATCTACTGCAGGGCAGCTTTGAAATGCTCTCACTGTGAAGCCTGTAGTTTATTTCTGGATCACCCCATGATCAAGGATTACCAGCCAAAATATAAGTTGTTCTGAATCTCAGATTTCCTGCTGGAAGATGCACTGGAGAAACTTTTACCCATCCTAAAGTTCTTCTTTGTTGCTTTAATTTGTAGAACTTCATTTCATCAAGCATCCTGTAGCTAAATGACACAAGGTTGACCTTTCTATTACATCATTCTTTATTGTCCTTGACAAGTAGACCATATATGGATATCTTTCTGAAACTTAAAGGGAAAAAAGAAATTGCAATATATTTTTGATATAAAGTATGCGGTCCTGGAGGGTTTCATTTATTTTTGGGGAAAGGTGCAGGCAGATTTTCTACTGTACCTGCTTTTGCTGCAGCTGCTGCTGCATAAACAGAATAGGGCAAACATGACAGTGGGTGCTGGCTGAGGTTTTACAGTGGTTAATGTATTTTAAGGCTACTCGAATTCATGGAGCCCGAGTCTTTAGAACTTCCAAGATATCACAAAAGCACTTGTGAAACAATCCCACACATGATTCCATAAACATTTACTATAGAGAAAGAACTGCTCTAAATAGCATGTGAACATGAAGGAAAGTCCCATTCCCTAGACAGCTTAAGGCCAGTGTATGTGCCATGGTGGTCATATACCTCATGGTGGCCTTTAGAGAAGTTGCTCAAGGAGTAGATAATATGGATCCAGGTGGAGTCTAAAAGAAGAGTAGGTGGACTGAAAATAACTAGACATGGGTGACCTGCCCCTTTAGGGCCTGGGAAACCTAAGGCCAGTCAGTCTCATTCAGTTAGCCCCACCCTGCCGCACCTGGGCAGGATGTGGGCCTTAAAAGGAAGAATGCTGACCAGTAGGAGGCTGACTAGGGAGGAGTGGAGAATGAATGCTCTAACCTGAGGGCTGGCTGAGGAAGAGATCCAGAGGTGAACAGGGAGTCTTGTCACTGGAAGACCTGAGGGAAAACAGGTGTGACTGTTAGGCTTCCCCAGGCCCTTGGCAGAAGAAACCTAAGTGTGAAATCAGCTGATACCAATACTCCTTCTCCCAGCACTTACCATATTGGTGCCATGAGCGAAATGGAGGGCAAGCTCATGGTGGGTGGCCCTTTCCTTCATTTGTCAACACCTTGTTGAGCCTCAGCCTGGTCGCAGAGCATAAATACCCATCACACTAATGCTCAATAAGATGGCCTTAGATGGAGCCACCCTAGTAATATTCCTTCATCTATTCAGTTACTTTCAGTCTACCTGCTCTTCTTTTAGATGCTTTCTGCATCAGAGGTACCCCTTCTTTGTTCCTTCTCCTTGACCAGCTTGCTCTGGTGTGATGCAGATGGCCATCTCATCATGCATCCTCCTTCTAAGCTGCTGTCTGGTGAATGTTCTGTCCTTCACGACTGCGTGATGTTAGAGCAATTCTTATTTTCAGACCACATTTAAGGTATTCCACCACTAATGCTGGCAGTCAAAGAAGCAATTGCTGCAGTGACCTCCTAGGGTGTGAACCTTGCACACCTTTGACAATCATCTCAGCAATCCCTTCTCCACCTTTAAGCATAACCTAAAACCTTCTCTGAGTTAGTTTTAATTATAACCACTGTTCATTTAACATGTAGAGCCTTTCCTCTTCTTTTTCTTTTCCTCTGTAAAACTGCCCTGCTGCTTGTTTCTCAGGCTCTGACCCTGTCATCAGATCTACTTGGCTGTGTGGAGTCCCACTGAGTTGAATGAAACTATTCATGCACTTAGTCAAGCTCGTGCCTAACCGCTTGGCTGAATTGGGGCCGGAGTGCTCAGTACCTTGCAGGATTAAGCATTTAATTAGAAAATGGCATTGGGGCCAGATTCCGGTCCCAAGATCCACAGGAGAAAAGGACTTTCCATGTACCAGTGTCTTCTTCCTGCAGAAACGGGGCAGCACTGCCTCCATGGCACTGTCCTACCTTCCCCCATGCACCTTGTGGAAGATGCACTATGGGTCCTGGGGTCTGTGAGGGGTGAGGCAGTGGGAAAGGGATAGGGGTGGAGCAAGGCAGGTTAGGACATGTATCATCCCCCATCAGAGCTGTGCTGCCTTGGAATGCAGGAAGGATGACCCATAAGGGATACAGAGCTGGTGCAGAGGTACAGGGCCTCTCAACAGCTGGTTGTGGACTGCCACAGATTCCCTTTGATCCATGCAGATCCCAGAGGACCTGTGGAGCTTGTTGGCCAATGGCACTATTGTAAAGAACACTTAGCTTCCTCCCAGGTGGGTTCATGAGGGACAGGACAGTGGGACTCATAGATCCATTGCCCAAGAGACGGGCCAAAACTGGCAGCAGTTAGAACTTTCTGAGAGAACCCTCTTGCAGAACAGTGGTAGGAATAATGGCTTTGAAAATGTGTCTACTAGTATGTAAAAATGTATTCACCTTTAGGTTATTTTTTTAATGTAGCATTTATGTCTTCCTGTTAGGCTCCTTTGACCAGCATACATTGAGTAATGCAATTTTTCTGCAGTTTGTCAGCAGTGACCTTTCCTGCTATCACTAGAACCACCCTGTACACAAGTTAGGAGCCCCCATTTTGCATCCTGGATAAATACTCATAAAAGAGAGAACTCTGCAGCCTGTGCAGATATTCACAGTTGTATAAAGGGTATTTGCTTTACTTAAAAGCATCCAGTACAGCTGATTGCTGAGGGCAGGATACTGGAGTATGTGTAGCATTTGTTTGATCTGGTATGGTAGTTCCTTAGAGTTTTCCCATAATGAAGCATGATTTTATAACTAAAGCTTAGGACTGGGCATCACGAGATCTGGGTTCTATTCCCAGATACCACTGACTCTCTTTGAAGCCTTGTGCAGCCACTTAAGTTCTCTGTGCCTCAGTTTCCCCACTTCCAAATGGAAATAATGGCTCTAACTTACCTCATAAGGATGTGTAGGGCTCAGTCCTGACATCTCACTGATGTGAAGCCAATAGGACTATTTACCTGAGGGAAAACTGTTTTTGTATCCTTGGATGGAGCTCCTCTGGAAGTTTGAAGTATTAGTTGCTGAAGTACTAATGTACAGAAATACATTTTATTTATTTTTCAATAAAGCAAAGCTGTAAGTCTGCTACAACACATCCAAAGCATAGTAACAATCATGATTGTAGAAGAAGTGTTTATATTTTTCCCAAAGACGCATCCAGTTGCGCATCTTAATTTAATACTTAATTCCAAGAGATTACAAAATGTCACCAGCAAAAATAAATATAAAATGCGATGTCATTTTCTGGGAATGCTTTCAGACTCGGATGCTGCACATTAATATCTGTTTTCTCTTTACTCAGAAAAACACTATTATAAGCCAGCTCACTGTGGCTATGGGAAGTGGATTAGGGTCTCATGAATGGGTCACATAAAGGGAAAACTGAGTTTGAGGAAAGAGGAAGAGAGGAGACCTTGTGAAAACTTGGTAAATAAAAAAAAAGCAGGTTCCTTTTCCTACTTCCTCAAAAGTAGCCAGCAGAAGTTTCTAAATGCCTCTTTAACCTTTGCTTCAGCTTTACATTTGCTTGCAAGCTCACCTTCCCTTTGTTTTAACTAATCAGCTCTTCAGTTCCCTTAGGCCTTGTTTCTCAGCAGGATCCTCTACTGTGGATGCAGCTAAGACTAGTGCAGAAACCAAATTTGTGCATGCAAGCCGGTGAGACTAGAAACTGATTCTACGTTTGGAGTCAGAAAATAGAAATATTTTTGCTGTCTCATGATTAGAAATCTTCATGTGCAAATGAGTATGAACACATCATGTATGCTATCCTTTCAGTAGTGGAATGGTATTAATGATGCCTAAACTCGAGAGTTTGGATCAGATGAATTCAGACACCATCGAGAAAGCAAGAACATATTGAATAGATGCAACAGACTAACTGTGTCTGATGGATACTGTAATTCCAATAGGCAACCTAACCACTTCATTTCAGCTGGCCATTCAGACATGGTAGTTCTCTAGCAAATGCAGAAAGTGGGCGCTGAAAAGACACATGGAATATGAGATGCAAGAAGATCCAGTTAATGGGATCTCTTACATTATGCATTTGCAGAGCAGCTGTTTAATTAGGTTTTCTGTCTGACCTGAATTTCTTATGGCAGATTTAGTCACAGCATTTACCACAATATCTTCTAAGCTATAGTCCATGGTGATATTCTATTGGTTACCTGGAGCGTGACACTGTTCATGGGTAACATAGAGCTCTTCTAAACTTTGGCTTAGTCTTTAGGTGCAATGCATTATGGATGTTGTAGTTCATTGAGAAAATGTGTAATGCATGCATTCTCATATTTTACAGTCATCTTTATCAAAATCTGGTGCCAATTCCTGCTTCCATTGATGTCAATGTCACAACTCCCATTGGTTTCAATGGGGAGAGGGATTCTGCTATTAACTGATATTTGGTGTGCCTGCAGTATTTCACTACCATCACACACTCTCAAAGATAACCAGCAAACTCCAGTGCATCTCTCCTACCCCACACTCACCCACCAATCCTGATCCCTTTCAAAGAAAAAGCAAATGATTTTCAATAGACCTACATTTTGTTTTAGATGGCTTTTTATTTTATACCATCTGGCAAATACCTGCCTTCTATTTGATTCCTCAGCACTTACACACCCTGTAACCAAATTCTTAATTTAAAAACATTGTTTACACCATACATTTCAATTTTCACATTTAGAGTTATAGTAGCAAAAAATGCCAACCAATAAAATACACTGAAGTGCACTTGTGAAAGAGGAGAAACGCGTACACTCAGTGTTTATGCAGTGCTTTGCACTGACGGACCCTAACAACAGGGAAAGGAGACTATTATTAGCTCAACATTGTAGCTGGGGGAAAGGAAGGCAGAAGGGTGAAGGGCAGAGCTGCAGAAGGAGTCAGTGTTAGAGCTAGGACTAGATCTCAGGAGCTCCTAGCTTCAATTTCTGTAGAACAGACCATTCTTCTCTCCACACACACACATGCTGCTACTAAAACTCCATCCAACTAGCAAGGGGACAAGAATTTCAATAGATGAAGGTTTCAATTTCTTCCCATAGCAAGAATGGGCTGAGAAGTGATTGCTTTGGCCATGCTTATATGATGGTGACAATAAGCCAGCAGCACTTTAGTATGTGGGTACTGG